ACAAAGCAAGGCAAACATTCCTACAATTAAAGAAAATATGGGATTCAAAACAACTTTTAGACAACACCAAAGTCAGAATTTTCAATACAAACATCAAGAGAGTTCTATTGTACTGGGATGAAACTAAGTGAACTACTACAACCATCATCAAAAAAGTACAGGTATTCATAAATAGTTGTCTGCACAAGATACTCCGAATCCGTTGGACAGACACCATCAGCAATAACCTACTATGGCACAGAACAAAGCAACTTCCAGTTAAAGTGGATAGGTTGAATTTTACGGAAACCAACAAACTGTATCACAAGGCAGGCTCTACCTTGGAACAGTCAATGCAAAAAGAAAAGAGGTAGATGGAAGAGGATATTTCGTCGTGAATTGCAGGCAGTCACCAAAAGAATGAATAGCACATTAGAATGACTGGAAAAGAAAGCCCAGGACATAGTTGGTTGGAAATTGCTGTTCGGTGGCCTGTGCTCCACGAAAGGTAAGAGACGTATACAACTAAGTTGTACCGAATAGTTCCAATCCAATTGATATACATATTGAATATATTTACCAACGCAAACTCTTGATCAGTTTTTCTCTTGTCACATGCGTTTCCTGAATTTCTCAGCTCATTATTCTGCCATGACCTAAGGTGGTCAGAAATGATGTTCATTCATTTGTGTCCATTGTTTTTAGGAAGATACAACTTTTTACTATATAATTCCTAAATAAAATTAAAACCTTTATGTTGTTCATTCGTGTCCACATTTTGTCCTCAGTGTTATCTTCAGTCTAAACATTACTTGTGTGGACACTGACCCAGATTCAACTATAACACCGGAAGCATACTTCAGTCAAAACCTAATTTGCAAAGACCCAGTAACATTTGAATTGTCTAACATGCGATTCTATATTTGTGCTTCGAAACTTTACTTATCCAGACGTCTAGCGCTAAGTAGTTCTTTTTCAAATGGTCAACATCAACTTTATAATCGTCAATTAAAATCACGTAGCCATCTCTCAATGGAAGATAATCGTCAAATTGCTGGGGATTTTACTAAAAATGATGTCCTTGAAACAGGTTCCACGGACAAATTACATGATACTATCAATGAAAGCATTGAATCTTTAACTGGTGACCTTCTGGACAATAGAATCACTAAGGCTGTAGGTTTATCTTTGTTACTGTATTGTTATTGTGTTTTTTTTAATTTTCCCAATATCTCTAACTCAGTGCTACCTTATGGTTTGGGCAGTTTGTAGCATCCGAACCTTAATATTTTAAATCACCATATCTGTTGGTCGAAACTTTTTCACAATATCAAAGTTATGCATCTTCAAGACATAGAAATCCTGACTCGAATATATGGCTGATGTCACATTAACTGGGGTCAATTCTTTTAATAGTCCTATGAATATTTACTTAAGAATATGTAGAAGTCAAAACATTAATTATTGGGAAAGTTTGTGTTGTTATTATCTGGTAAAATGGACAAACGCCCAATGAGCATACACCCCCGGAAAGGGAATGAATCCAAAGAAGTGAAAAAATGTGTGTGTATTTTCTGAATTGTGATTGATAAGTGGGTAAAGTTATCTTTAATTATCTGTGTTAACAACCAACGAGAGGATAGAGAAAGAATAGAGTGCAGACATATGTTCAATCAGATCCAAAAACATAGTTATACATAGTGAATCAACTGTCTAAATTACAATAATTAGTTAATAAAAACTATAATAGGCTTTAAATTCACTTAGTATTGTTTGCTTGAATCTTCTCATTATGTTTAGGACTGCAACTGTTCAGTTTCTTATTGGCATATGTGCATACTGTGCGTATGCCTCGATATAGCCTTAATTCACAAGCATTATGAGCAAAGATGGATAGTGGCTAGCAGTGGAATCCAGGACGAGCGTTTCGTTTTATTTGGAACTCGTCAACTGGATGTACCTGCATCTCAGTGTTGATGCTCTTTGTGGGACTCGAACCCAATACATTTCGCTTCAAATGCCATCGCTTTATCCACTCAGCTACTGAGTTCTGATAGCTATTAGCTTGTGCAATGGGGGTGAAGTTGAAATTAACTTAGTATTGTTTGTTTCAATCTCCCCATTGATGTTTTTGGGACTGCAACTGGTCAGTCTTTAATAATAGGCTTTTCTTGCGACCTCGCAAAATAGGTTGTAGAAATAAACTGTAATAATAAAGGCTTACTATACTGTATATTTTAAGTTTGTTATTCTGGTGAATGTTGATTCATATTCAAATAGGAGAGGATCATCATATAAATCTTTCTTCAATACTGTCACACACTATAAGGATTTTATTCTATCAGAAATAGTCATTGATTTAAAAACTCTGGTTTTCATTGTTGATCTAGCTAAGATCAATTCATGATTTAAACTATGAAAATTCTACAATCTCCACATAATCATGTGTACACTGGTGACTAGCTTCAAAGTGTAATTAATAGGGTTTTAGAGTAAGAATTTATGACAAATAGAGTTCAATCATGTCAGGTGTCAGATAGGGATCCATCGCAGACAATGGCAGATATCCATATAATACCGTGTGATGATTGAAGTGAGACATACCACTGGATGCCGGCTCAGTGGCCTAGGGGTTAATGTTTCTCACATGAAACCAAAAGTTTATGGTTTGGCTCCTTGTGGGTACGGATTGCTGAGGAGTCCCACACCAAAATGAAATAACTACCCAGTGCCTGCTCGTTTTCAGTAATGATCTAGCCAAGAACAGTCTATGATTTAGACTATGAAAATTCTAAAATCTCCACAAATCCCTATATACTGTAACCATTATTTACTGAACAAATTAACCATTCTAATGAAATCTTTTTCTCTTTATTTTTTTTTAAAATCACAGTATGTCACTCATTTAACACCATTTTCAATACCTTGGCGTTTCAAATCACTAGAATATAATAATTTTATGAAACTTTGTAAAGAATCACACTGTCAACCAATTGGACGTTTTGAATGTACAATGAATCGAATTGGTAATGTTAAAAAGATTAATCAAGATATAAGAGTAGATTGTGTTATTGGACAACAGATATAAAATATTTGAATAACTATAATTTATCATTTCAGCTTGATATTTTTCGTCCTTTTGATATAAATACCTTTTCAAGTACATTCCTATTCAACCATTCAATAATGATCCTGTCAACTTGAGATATCTTAATTCTTATATGATGTGAATAATAATCTTTTCTTTGAAAGAAAATTTTATCTGATTTCAAACTGACTTCCAAATCTATACTTTTAAAACTGTTTACCCATTACTTATGATTGTTCATTGTGATACATATCAATCTATTTCTTTATCTTTAATATTGTGATAAGTTAAACTCTTTTTTTGTATACACACACACAATTCGAGATATTCTGTGTTCTAATGTAACAACCTCTCTCCATTTTTTTACAATAAAACCATTATTCTTTTAACAATATAAAGTGTTTGCGCCACATGCACCATATTGAATACAAGTGACTATTTGGGCAGAATCCATGGATTTGACTTACACACAAACATTGTTGTGTAAGTGTGTTTGTAAAATGTTAGTTACAAATATTTTAGTAACTGCTTACTTCTCGCAGCGGATGTTTTTCACACAATTGAGAGGATGAAAACGAAATGTTCGGAGCTTCAACCGGGTTGGTGGACATGAGGAATCCACCTAGGGGAGTTTGAAAATCCTGATTCTAAACCAATGGTACCAGGATCCTAAGGGAGCAAATGGCGTATGAACCAATTGTCGGTTACCGGCTACCATGGGACTGCATCTCCTTACGTTGCTCCACTGCCTTATGGATCAGACCTTACGGTCGAAGGCTTGGGTGTGGCTTCTTAAGGAAACCACCTGCTTCGGTCTAGGCATCCGGGGAGTATCACAGCCCATACACAAATCAAATGATTTGTGTGGCGCATATATATTTGGTGTTTTGTTGTATCAATGCTTCTGTGTTTAATTAATCAATAGATTCGATATATTAAAATACACTAAATGTAACCATTTACTTCAACAAACTGCCACTTTCACTCAAAATGGGGTTGAAAAGTATAGTAATCTAGCTATAATCTTACTTACTACCAGGTTTGTGATGTTTTTCTTTCATATAGAATGAACATATTACCACATCAGTTTTGATACTTTACAACAACAGATATCAATTCGTAAATACATTACCGTACAAAATCTTTTGGACTTATGTTTATACATATGCAGTAGATAATACCGACTAATAAAGCAAGACTATTGAGAAGAAAAAAAATCAACATTTCATCATTTGTAAATTATATTCGCCACAGATTGAGCTAATTTAGGTTGCTATTAAAAGGCACTAGGGAGCGCTGGACATGTCTCATTCTAGCGCAGAATTTCTTGTCAGTGTGCACCCACAACTTTACTAGGGTTCGAATTTATAACACGCGGCGAACGAATAACCATTATTAATTTGTTTATCTAAGAAAAATGACATATGGTTACAGATTCCCAACATCTTACCCCGAGAGAAATAACCATTGAGACTTGATGAGTTTTGAATGTTTATTAGTACATATTCTACCAGAGCCTAATAATAAAAATCTGAAATTTAATATGGATGATTGGAAGATATACGTATAAAAAGTGTCACTGGGTGCATTGACGCTTGAGTGGGTTTCCCCTCTAGATTACAACAGATCTAACTACTTTAAAAGGAAAATATTATTAAATTTGTCTATTATGAAGAAAATTCATCTTCTTACAATAGATTGTAAACCATGGTTGGATTGTTATTAAATTGTGGATATATGTTACTAAGAAGCTGGGACGAAATGAATCTGTTAAGATACAACAATATCTCCACCTCAAGGTATATATATAGCTTAGAAGCAAACAGTAAAACTATCTTTTATTCCGAAACGATATACTTTACGTACTCATAAACTTCAAGATGAATACAACCAGTTCGCTCATGGTTAAATGTACTGAAGTAAAACAAACAATTTGCACATGAAAATATAGTTATTATTAAAATTCTACAGAACCAGTTATCATAGCTACAATATGAGTTTCTATAGGATGACAATAGAGTATAGTCATATTGTATTGTATTTCATTTTCTGAATGTCGGAAATCGTATAATTCCTTGACAAACCATGGAAACGTTGGTGGACCATAAAAAATAAATGTTTGAGGTCCACGAATTTTTCGCCTGCATGCATAGAATAAACATAAAACAATTAGAAGTACTAATTTTTATTGTATTGCATTAATGAACTAAGATATTAGAAGAAATTGAAAAAGCCTTTAATGTTTTGTAACTACATTGTGGCTTTTTTTCCCAGTTTTTTCCCATTTAAGTAGGACACCGAAAAATAACTGAGATTTATGACTTGCTAAACAAAAATAGGTCACCTGACAAACCCCAAATTATTCTTAATTTTAAATGAAAATTTTGAAGAACATTTGCTTATTGGTCTACGAAATTTAGTGCTTATGTAATCTCCTGTTGGGAATGTTAAATCCCCAGAACTTACTTGGTAAATGACTAATTTTTATAATTTTATTTTGAGATTTTGAATTTCTTTGTTTTCGCACCAAAAGCGCTCCTCTCACCTTCGAGTCTTATTTCCCACTTGGAAATATCTTAAACGCTAATGGTCCGTTGTATCTTTTTAGTGTGTTATTTTGTAATGCTTCCCAAGGACAACTTCATACTGTATATATACGTTTGATTTCTTCCGATTGTGTTTGCTGCTTACGAGATATATATTCCCCCTACTTCGTCTTGAACTTCTCACTCTAGTTAGCGGGGCCTGGGACAACGGATTAGGATAGCCTATCGTGTCACTGTGTCATTGACCTTTGTTCGTTTACCGAGTAAGTAGAAATCGTAATTAGCACTAAGCATATCATCTCCACTCAGTGTACAGTTGTTTTTGTTAAAAAAAAATAGAAAGACAATTAGGAGGGTTAAATCATTTGATATGAATATTTCCTTTTGTTCCATGAGATCAGTTGGCTGATCCACATAGTTGTTGGGTAGATCATGTCACAATTAGTTATCGTATGGGTAAACATGTATCCCTGCTGACCAACCTCTGGTTATTATGAATTTTTGTCTGGCTTTTCAGGAAACTGCAGAGTTCCATTCAGATAAAAACATCATTAGTAAAAATAGTCTTGATTTACTATCAATCTTCAATCAATGTAATTTGGTTTATACAGCCAAGATAAACAAAAATAAGTACTCAGGAATAAAAATCAATATAATTGGATAATCAATCAGTCAAACGCAGCGTACAACCTAATACATGAGTACATCGGTTCAAGTTGCCATACCCTATAGGCACAACGAGATGAAATTGCTAGAGCGAATCTCACAGTTATTTAGTTTTTTTTATTTGAACATGTAAATATTGGTAAAAAGGGGCACTGAATATATATGCGCCAAACAAGTCACTTGATTTGTGAGTGGGTCGTGACACTGCTCGGGTGCCCAAACCGAAGTAGGTAGTTTCCTTAGGAAGCCACACCCCAAGCCTTCGACCTAAAGGTCTAATCCATAAGGCAGTGGAGCAACGTAATGAGATGCAGTCCCATGATAGCCGGTAACCGACAACTGGTTCATACTCCATTTGTTCCCTAGGGGTACTGGAGCCCATGTGCACCACTCGTTTGGAACCAGGGTTTTCCAACTCCCCTAGATGGACCCTCCGTGTCTACCAACCCGGTTAAAGCTCCGGAAATTCGCTTTTCATCCTCTCAATTTCGTTAACACCCCCTCTTCGAAAAGGAAGTGGGTAGAAACTCACTGGTAGTGGTTGTATACGCATGGCCATGTGAGAGAATTTGGAGAGGGAGAACTGACTCGCCCTACTCTCGGTCGTACCAGTAGTAGATATAGTAAACGCATAAGTGGTATTAGAAAAGGTTAAATATAAGAGATATAATTCAAAAAGAAAGTAAAAATTAGTAAAATAAGAAGAAAAAAGAATTAAGAAACTTAAGATCTACGGGAAGACAAAAATGAATGCACCTGTACCATCGCGAACGATTCCGTGTCATATCAACCGAAGTCTTAGGATTGGTTACGATAATAATGCTAAAACCAACCAGATAGCGTGGACCTACCTACATGGCTCAGTCCAATAGTCAATGTCTTAATGGACCGGCTTTATGTTTTGGTTTAGGCGCCCCCGACTTTGTTCAACCCCCTCAATTATCCATTACCATGCGACAAAGTAGTCTGTGGATGAGCACATGTAATACATGTCCCAACCACCTTAGTCGATATAGATTCACTACGACGTCAATTGATTTGCCATACTTAGTTAGCACTCTGCGTCCAACCTTCGAATTGCTAACTCGATGGTTTCAAAATATACGAGCAATGTTTAGTAGACATCTATGGTCGAATTATTTATTTTATTTAAACATATAAATATTGGTACAAGGAAGCACCAGATACGCGCCTCACAAATCTCATTCGATTTGTGTGAGGGCTGTGATACTGCCCAGGTGCCCAGACTGAAGCAGAAAAAATCTATGGTTGAATACCAGTAACCTACGAATATCCTATTTTTAAAGGCCACGTTTCACAATTGTGAAGAAGAATCGAGCAAACTGCTGCCTGGTGAACTCGTCCTTTGGTCGGGAAACGGATATTTTGCTTACGCTACGAATGAAGATTTGGCAGAAGTCACCCGGGCTTTCTGAATGTGCTAAATTTCATCAGACACCAATCCATCAGGGCTGAGATTTCCGAAATAAATTACGTGATCGACACACTCAACTACTTTACTCTGTATAATAAATTCAGCTGCTGACACAAACTAGTCAGTCCTAAAGCAATATTTCGCGTTTAGATATAGAAGCGCATCCCGTCTTTTTATGTAGAATACTCTGGGAACAATAAACCATCTCAATAAATAGTAATCGTTCTATAGAAAATAGATATTAAGACCGGTGCTCGAAGCAACGAAGAGTGAGAATTTGTCACTCAGTGTGCGCATGAGGACTTCATGGATAACTGACACCACTCTTCACACCTACTGACTAGCATATATTTGCTCACCTTAATGCAAAGTATTTGAAAAAATTCAAACCAATTGTAAGTTAATAGAGGAGGGAAAGTGAGACGCTCTACATCAAAGGTTAGTATTAACCTTTAAAAAATAAATTAGTTTAACCGATTTTAAACCTTTTCTTGATCATGTGAATACGATCTTTTTGAATTTTAACTAAAAATGCTAGATGTTCGAAGGGAGTACACGTTATTCACAAACCATTGAGAGGGTACTGAATTATTGTACTCAACTACGTTAAGATATACCTATAGGTATACCATATTATTCAAGTTACCGTACTAACTTTACAATCTAACGACCCTTAATAGCAGTAAATGTACAGTTTAAACTGAAATACAAAACAGTACAAAGAAAAAAAGACATGTGAAGTGATGGTAGTAACGAACAGTAAAATGAATACTGGCGATCCATAAAAGGAATAGTAAGTACTCACCTTCGAAAGAAGTAATAACGTTCAGTTATTAACAAAATACGAATACGACCATCACCAAACAAGGTACGAAATCGTTCAGCTTCTGAGTCTTCTGTATATCTGATGAAGATAAATGTAAAAACCCCAAGCAAAGTAATTTGAAGTTACAGCAATGCAAAAGAGACAAATATCATTCACATAGGGTTTGGGCACAGATATGTGCGTTGGCCTGAGTTGCAAAGTGTCCTATGTCTAACCCCAACAGTACCTTCTCGGTCATCTCACTATACGCGAGCAATGCTTTTAAGGGACCTAAGATCAAATACTAGTAAAGGCCATGTTTCACATCCATAAAGTAGAAAAGAGGGAACTGATGAACAGTATAAAAGTCATTTGGTTGGTAGACTGATATTTTGCCTATGCCACAAGTGATAAAAATTGTCAAACGCCAACTGCGCCTTCTGAATCCGAGTCCAGATTTCATCAGACACCAATCTACCAGACCTGAGACGTCTAAGGTAAGTGAAGTGGTTAGTGCACTCAGATAATTCAACTAAAATACGAGGTGTACAAACCGAACAAAACTATTTAGCAACATAATTATGCTTGTGCACAGTAATATGTTGAACGTCACCTTAAAATAACTAAGACTGTTTCACTGATGAGAAAGTTTTCACCTCCTTGAAATGACTGGTTTTTTGTACTGTTTAGGCTATCAGCTCATTTAACTAGAAGATTCTACTACGTATAACATTTTAAAATAAATAATGATTGATAAGGTAGCTGTGGTGACAGAAATATGTTTAATTAGCTATAAAATAACAAATATACTTAAAAACATGATCTATACATACGCAAGGTATGAGCTTAGGACGACTTACGTATATGTTGTGAATAACCGAACACTTATTTGAATGGGATTAAGCTTTACCAACTTATAGAGTTTCTACTGTCATGATAATATGAACTGATGGTTTTGTTTCCAAAATGACCTACATCACTATATACTAATCAGACTTTTACAATGAGTCCCACATTTTGACCAATAGACCGTCCAGTGCTTCCAAGTTTTCAATGGTGGTCTAACATTGATCGGTTCGTGATCTCAATTAAAACTGAACAATTTCCACAACCTTATACTGATAATAAGTAAACTGACATTTTTCTGCTATACTCTCAGTAGTACTTCTAAAACTGGTCAGATACACGAATAGTTTGATTATTTCTATGAGTTGACTATTAAGAGTGAATCCAAACAAAAGGTCGTACATTTCACTTGAATAGTGTTAATCACACAACACCCACATACTCTGGGACTTGGTAAGTTTATACTTTATCGCAGAGTAAAATGATATTGTCCATTCGCTCTCTATAGAACAAATCTACATTATCACTGTACAATTCAGATTAACGATGTTTCTAGTATTTTTAATGGTAGATTATTTAAATGGAAATGGTAATGTGCAACAAGTCTGTCTGATTTCACTGCCGTTTTCAAACAGAGGTGAGGTGACTGAGACCATTTTGTAAGCCTGTTGAGACAATGAATATGACAATGATAAGAAACTGACTACCGAGTTTTTCCCCACCTTTTACTTCATTTAATCTTTACAAGTTAAAAAAAAAAAACATGCACTTGAAAATTTATACGGTAAAAAGTGATAGAAGCATGTTTACTGTGTAAAAATAGGATTTAAGACTGCTTCCTACGTCATATCATAAGGCAATAGTAACTACGTAGATTATTTATCTAGCACAGTACTCAACATTAAGCCACGCTTTTTGTGTGGGGGTTACTGATATTGTAAGGCTACCCGAATCAGAGTAAACAGAACAGGGTCTGAACCTTCAGCTAACTGAGGTTGAAAGTCGAATATATTACAGAAAAAAATATTCAGTTTACATTTCACCTTAATAGTAAAATAAGATAAGTTAACAACAGGGTAATTAACATTAAATTTTTTCTAAAGAACCTACTCATTAATACAACAAAAATCCAACGATTCAGCAAGTAAAATTTGGCGCAATTCTTCAAGGTCGTAGAAATCTGGTACATATATAAGAACACGAGGATCTGAACCTCGACGTAGCCTAGGCAATATTCGTTGTTTAAATGCATTTAATCGGGCTATAGAAACATTACGTCCTGCTGAGTAAAAAATATAATACAGAAGAGAGAAATAAAGATGATGTAAATTTATAAACAAAACCAGTGATTAAAACCCAAAGCCTACCATAAAAGTCTTACAGTGAACTATATGAGGGGATGTAAAAAAACCTAACCATAAATATTGTGCACCTAACTGCTCACGTGCTTTTGTCATCTATCAACAAGTTACTGAAAGTGACCACTAATGAAATTGATTGATGTGAATAAGAGAAAGAAGAGATGAACGAACATTTAGTTATAATAAATTCATTCATTAAACAATTGAAAAGTGAAAAAAAGTGATCACAAGTACAGTTAGAGGTATGAAAAAAATCATCACTTTTCGGTGACCCACATCGTGTAGGAGACCTGAAAAGAAAACTGGATTCGGTGTTTTCTTGGCAACCTGGGAATGCGACCACAGAGCCCAAAAGATAAGTACTTGTAGCCGGTCAAGCCAAGCCTTTTCAGCGCAATTCTTGATGTGTTAACCACATACTATTGAGGCTCTATCGCCAGTGACAGGAATTTGTGGGGAAAAGTGAGGTTGGACATTTTTAAGGTCCACCTATTCTTACACATTCTATCCGTTGAGTGGAGACAAATTGTTGCAGGTGTTGATTGTGAGGGAAACACCCTACCCCCGTCACACCTTTGTACGACATAACTTAGTTTTGCCATCATTGGTCTTGCTGCTGCTACCCACTCGACCTCCCCGATATGGTAGAACCCAGTCAGTATAGCTCGTTTGGGTCATGACGATATCCCAATCCGACCACCAAGTCAAGATAGCGGCAACAGTTGTAGTAGTACGTCTTCCGATAAGTAATCAAAAAAGGATTGCGACAATTTTAAGTAAAATATAATGAGAATTGGAGATAAACCCTTTTACTTTGTGCATACGCATTTACACAATTTAGCCCCTGAATGCCCTGATACGGTCGAGGGCAGGGAGAGTCAGCTCGCTCTCTCTCCAAACGCCCTCACATGGCCACGCGTATAGGGCCACTTCCAGAGAAGTATTACTTACTGCCTTTTCGTGGCGGTGTTGTTTACGAAATTGAGGGGATGACAAGCGAATGTCAGATGCTTTGATCGGTTTGATGGACATGGAGAGTTCACCTAGAGTTGGAAAACCCTAAATCCAAACCAGTGATGATGAACATGAACTCCAGGATTCCAAGGAAACAAATGGCGTGTGAACCTACTGGTGGTTGCCGGTTACCATGGGACTGCATCTCCTGACGTTGCTTCACTGCCTTGTGGATTAGACCTCAGGTCAAAGGCTCGGGGTATGGCTTCCTAAAAAAACTACCTACTTCGGTTTGGGCACTCTGACAGTATTTCAGCCGTCACACAACGAAAAACACCTTTAAAAAATGTAAATAAAAATTTAGCTATGACATTTGATATGCTACTCTATCCAGGAATGAACGTTTTAAGGAAACTAATGAGGCCAGAAAGAGCATCGGTGTCACTCGTCTTATGAATATCATAATAAAAATATTAAAAAAAAACTTCTTATAAACTCTCTAAATAGGACTGTATCTATAATCCTTCACTAAAATAGAGAACTGTCATCAAGAGGTGAGGAAAGAGAAATCAGAAATTCGAGTTTCCATTCCTCTATAAAAATTAACATGTAGGTTTACTAGTCATCTTATGGTACTTTTTATATAGTACTAATTGTAAGCTATTTTTTTAATCCATTATTTGTCATCGTATCATTACCGTTCATACTAATTGTAATCAACTAACTATAGGACTGTTACTCAACTTTGTATCAGAAATATTTCAGTTATTTTTTACCTATAAGAGATCTATTAACTATAGTATCATAGTTTATTCATATAAACATGTGAGTAATATATATAAATAAATAATAATTAAAGGTACTTGTGAGCAATCACTTGGTTTTCTGATGCTCTGATTAGAGGGTATGGGTATGTGGGGATTGGAGTGGTATATCGATCGCGTGAGTGATGAATACGATTAAAAAGAATAATGTGGACCTAGTGGCATAGATGAGAATACATCAATATTCTAGTAAGATTATAGGCCTTTCAAGACAAACTACATTAGTTTGTTTAGTTCAGTCATTAAAACTATTAACACCGAAAATGAAACGGTGAGCTGCATCACTTATACGAGACAATAATCCAATCTTATCGGGTTTTTCAATTTTCCGACTGATACTATCAATAGCAAGATGGTAAGTAACATTCTAAACAGCAACTTACATAAATATGCGTAATCTGTGAATCTAAGTGTTCTAGTAGATAACAATAATGAATTTGATGAATCTACTTTTGAGGAATTAGAAAGGCAATGAAGAGAATTATCAGCTGTCGTTTTAGGTGACATTTCTATCTCATCGTCTGAATCTGATTGATTATTTTTACTAACCGAGTCTGTACAAGATAATTTAACAGGAATTTGTCCAGGAACTACAAATGAGATTAAATGTAACTTGAAGTTATAATTTGTTAGTGATTTATCTCCTTCCTTTGTAGCACTCATATCCGAATGTTGACGTTTCTGTCCAGTTCGAATAGGTGCTTTCAGTCCAGGAATACGTACCCAACTGGGCAAAAATGTTGGATATAAATCAGGGTAATGTGATAACGGCGGTATATAATTCATGCCTTGAAAATCTAAAATTCAATGATAATAAAAGAAAACCTTTAAAACTGATACAATACGCAAGAATCAATTCTTAATTGACTGGACATTAAGTGTGATCTACAAACCAATCCAATATAACATTTTATCGTATTTATTCTTGTATTCCGAATCTTGTGGACAAGCATATATCAGACAAAAGAACTATTTCTTGATGCTGTCTCTAATTTCCGATCAATCGGCCAATTTTATCAATTCTCGGCTATTCCATTTTATCTATCAATAAGTGTTCTTCACTTTTATTTTAACATAAAGGAAAAATAACTTATCAAATTATGATATCTTAATTCGCCCCCAAATGCCCTGGTACGGTCGAGAGTGGGGAGAGTCCGCTCTCCCTCTCCAAATGCTCTCATATGGCCACGCGAATATATAGTCTCTGTCAGGGAAGTCCTACTCACTACCTTCTAGTCGCATTGCTGCTGTTTACGAAATTGAGGGGACGAAAAGCGAATGTCCGGTGCTTTAACCGGGTTGGTGGACACGGAAAGTCCACCTAGGGGAGTTTGAAAACCCTGATTCCAAACCAATGGTGCACATGGGTCCCAGTATCCTAAGGGAACAAATGGAGTATGAATCAATCGTTGGTCACAGGCTACCATGGAACTGCATCTCCTTACGATGCTCCACTGCCTTGTGGATCAGATCTATAGGTCAAAGGCTCCGGGTGTGTCCCTCTAACAAAACCACGTGCTTCAGTTTGGGCACCCGAGTAGTATCATAACCCTCACACAATTGAATGAAATGACATTTTTTTGTGGCACATATGTATCTGATGCTCCTTTGTACCAATATTTATGTGCTTAAATAAATAAATAAATATTTTAATTCATAACAATGACGACGGGATGAAATCGATCAATTCACTATGGATACATAGAAATTATTATGAATTCAGTTAATAATACAGTCGTAGATTGAAATGCTTCTACACGGCTTAAAAATTTGAAAATCATTCACAAACTATCAATTCAGAATCAAATATAGTTCAGAAGAAAGAATGCATTATCAAGGAAGATCTTAGTTCATGAAACAGTCTAATTGCCAAAAATAATGATATAGCAAAATCGGTGGAGAAGCTCAAAGTTAATGTTTATCCATATACAGTATTACAGTCAAAGTTTCCTATAAGTTCCTTTACAAACTCAACTCACAACGAAAATACAGATAAGTATGAAAAATCCTATATATACAGAAAAGATGTGCGACGATTCAAAAAAAGGTCTACAATTTACCTTACATAATCACATGTAATACATGACACACAGTACATACTCGTACCTTAATTTTAATAGCATTCAAGGGTATTCTTTATAATGTTATGGAGACAATATACAAATTCAAACACCCAGTCCAACTAAATTAAATTAGAAGCATTTTCTACTTTGAATGACTAGTTACAAAAACTTAATTAAGGAAAGGGTAGTGGTAGTTGTGTATGTAGTGAGAACATGATTGACAAACTTATTGAATATCTTAACTAGTGAACCATTACTGTTACCCAACACTCATTTCTTATTCACACATATATACTGGAATCATTTTTTGAAGAAAAAACCAAGTTGTAAATCTGTCGATCATATTTAAGCATTTATAATCATACGGTTATACTATTTTATTAAGATCATGAAATGATCCAAGTTAGACAACCATTGAAAACTTGGATGCAGTGAATGGTAATTTCATCATAGTATGGAACTAATCAACAGTGACGTCCAGTGTTCTGAGGTTTTCAATGGTTGTCTAACTTAGATCAGTTCATGAGATCTCAACAAAATCCAGTAATCTTCCTAACTCCATACTGATTATTCTAAACATATTCGGAACAGGTTTCTTGATCAGACTTTAACACATCAATTTTTATAATGATCATGATGATGGTGATGATCTGTCATTTCGTAATGAAAATTTGCCGATTACATTTTAGCATTAATAATCATATTCTGTAAAACGTTCTCTTTCTCAAATAAACTTACTTTCACATTCACCTGATAATAATGTAATCAAAAAATTTGATACAGCAGAGAATAGTAAAGTTTGACGATAACGTCTACCATAACCAGCTAAATAACATAATCGTATACGTGCAGCTGATGCAAATACAGGAACAGTTGGACGTTGATTAAGTAAAGAGACAATTTGTTGTACAGTAGCCCAATTTTGCATTAATAACATTTCACCTTGATCGATAATCAATAATTCAATAGACGCTATGATATATTGAACATCAGCTTCTTTCTCTCTAATATTATGGAATATGTGTAGATTAGTAAACATGAAAACAAGAAAACGATAACTAATGAAAAGTTTCTTGCTGAAACTATAACTGAGTAATATACTGTTAAAGAAGTTAACGAGTTCTAGGTAGTGACAAGGTCCCCAAATGCCCTGGTACGGTCGAGAGTGGGGAGAGTCCGCTCTCCCTCTCCAAATGCTCTCATATGGCCACGCGAATATATAGTCTCTGTCAGGGAAGTCCTACTCACTACCTTCTAGTCGCATTGCTGCTGTTTACGAAATTGAGGGGACGAAAAGCGAATGTCCGGAGCTTTAACCGGGTTGGTGGACACGGAAAGTCCACCTAGGGGAGTTTGAAAACCCTGATTCCAAACCAATGGTGCACATGGGCTGGCTCCACGTTCCTGAAGGAACGAATGGCAGACGAACCTGTCATTGGTCAACGGCTACCATGGGAATGCATCTCCTCACGATGCTCCACTGCCTTGTGGATTAGACCTTTAGGTCAAAGGCTCCGGGTGTGGCCCCCTAAGAAAACCACCTGCTTCAGTCTGGGCACCTGGGCAGTATCACAGCCCTCACACAAATCGAATGAGATTTGTGAGGCGCATATTTATCTGGTGCTTCCTTGTACCAATAATTATGTGTTTAAATGAAATAATAAAATAATAAGTGACAAGGTTCATAAAATATGATAAATACTTATGACTACAACAATTGAATTACTCAGGATATGGTTAAGAATGCAAAAGGTGTACGGGAAAATCAATCTACCTCAATGATCAGTTATACCGTTGTCAATTGAAGCTAAACCACCATGGAAAACCTGGAAGCACTGGATGGCCATTTTGTCCTAATATGGGACTCCTGTAGTTCCAGTGGGAAGCAGTAACCAGTGGAGTTCAACCACGTCTGTTGTGAGATAACAACTCACTGAAGACAATTGGTGAACGGTCGCTCAAACTTCGTGGATTGGTTGAAGTTAGACATTAACAGCGTTGGATGCCGGCCGGCTCGGTAGTCTATCGGTTAAGTGCTCTGGCGCGAGACTGGTAGGTCCCGGGTTCGAATCTCGCGAGGCGGGATCGTGGACGCGCACTGCTGAGGAGTCCCACAGTATGACGAAACGGCCGTCCAGTGCTTCCAGGTTTTTCATGGTGGTCCAGCTTCAACTGACTCATGATTTCAACTATGAAAATACTGAAATCTCCACAAAACCCCTTCTGATTATACCGCTGTATTGCAAACTGTAGAGCGAATTTGCTGTGTACAGAAAGGATGATATCGTTCAAGTGTTTAGATAGGCATAGAAATTTAATAGACTTGAAATTGTATCTCAGTATTTGAGCATTCTCATGTGTTTATTGAGTTAGATTCATACAAGTTTAAAAAAAAGTGATCATCACGTGATATGAGACAAAACTAAAATCAATACCATTTATAAAAAATGCTATAGTAGTTTTAAATCCTTCACCCAGGATCACGTTACCATTTGCTTAATAACCGCCTTTCGAACAGTATCAAGTGGTTCTGATCGTATCACTGAAACTAGATTTATATAGAAATAAACCATAACCAGTGTAAAGGACTAAAGTCAGTTCATTTAATCTAGGTCTAGTCCCTTACAACATTTTCATACTTCATTGAAACAACAGCACAAAATACTCTTATTTTGAAGATACGTGATCAGCATTTTAGTTACCTGTTAGTAGTTTTACTAACGTCAGATAACCATGTCACCACAAGTAACTCAAATAAATTGGAGTAATTGAAAGTGCTTAGATTCAGCTCCTGCTGTCATACCAGACACTACATTCCTTGTTTAGAGATTGTGAAACGATCTGCAGAAGAAACTAACAGACACTGCTGTACTCCATATCCACTAGAATGAACTGATCATAAAGCGCTTGTAAATACCTAACGTTTGTAGACAGGATCCTCTATAGATACTTTAGGAAGAGCGGTATTTATGTGTGCACGTATACCACCGGGAGCTGACTGGATTATAATTTCATTAATTCAAGTATCAGGGACAAAGAACACACGCTAGACAGTATTTCGGTGATGAGTATGCTGTATATTCATAATATATAGTTTTGTGTGTTTGACCTGACATCGTGAACAGAAATTAATTATGTCAATAAGGTATTATTACAGTTTCTTTCAACAAGCACTATATCACACACACACACGAAATAACTCATTGAAGAATAACATAAACCAATATAATAGAAAAAAATCCTTACACTTCATCATCGATAACAGCTTTAATTCCCAAAGGAGATGCTAGAATTAAATCGGAATCACGGAATGCAGAATACAATTTTACAGACTTTTTAGAAAATGCCATACCAATACGAAAATTGTCACTGGAATTACCTAGTAAATTATTTGAGAAAAAATGTATGTGTAAACTTAACAATAGTAAAAAGCTGTGGTTGTTTTACACGAGGTGAAATAGTTAAAAATTACATAATCTACAATGAGAAATATTCACCGGATGAAAACTTGCAAATTCACTTCCGCTTACATTATTTATATACCTGCTAACTTCTTACGGTAGTAGTGTAATGGACGAAGTCTTGGGTAGTAAACTACTTTACGGTATTATGCAAAACAACAATGAAATGAATAAAAGCGGACTGTTTGAACGTCTGGGCTACCTGTTCCTGCTATCTAGATATTTCAACAAGTTATCTAATTTCGTTTGTTTTAATAAACCATTATGGTTATTAATCGTATAACCTATTCGGGTGCGTTTCTGAAGAGTATACAACCTTTCGTTGTACAAGTTAGGAAAGGCCCAGTCAGAGATATCGTAGTAGCTGGTAATATACAGCGAAAAGAATGTACATTATTTAGATGTCGATTGACTGGACTGCTAACTTTTAACTGGCTATCACTCAATATTTATCGTCAGGATCGACCAAGAAGTAAGAAACGGAAACTAGTTGAAATGCATTGCGTTAAGAATTCTATATTGTACCAAAAATATAATAGTGAATAAAGCTAATGATAATAATAATGAAACCACACACTTTGTAAAATATGAAAACAATACACTAAATACATTATTTTCCTTGAGTTGTCCCTTGCAACTCTATCACTCTTCCATTCCTATTGTTATTTTGATTGCTTTCCATTTCCCTTTCTCTTTATTTTTCTTTTCTGTCCATAAGAATTCTATTTTCAGTTCCTGTTACATACTACTTAAAACTCTCCGTACAAGTAGTACAAACCACGGTATCCAATTACATAAAACATTGCCTAATGTTATTGTAGAATATCAATGGACAAACATAGTGAATGTAGCATAGATGTTAATTTTACAAAATGTTTTATATGATTCAGTAGGAAATATTAAAATCTCATATCCACAGAATATGAAATTCGGTTGATTTATGGCTGACGATGAAACAAAACATTCAGGTGATGATAATTTGCTTCAAAGACTTTTCAAATATTTAAAGCGATTACTCACTTAGCAATGTGTAACAATGAGCGACTATTTATGCAGAATTCAGTCAAAGGTACAACGGCTTGTAATGCTACTCGCCCCATGTATTAAGTAGTAGTGCAAACACGAAAAGGTAGTTGAAAATTGTACTTAATATGATGAGAAGGTACCACATGTACGATACATTTTAAAGAGTAGATTTATCTAAGGCTTTTAGATGGCGAATTTTTGTGAGATCTGATATGCAAGGGATATTCGTGAACTTAACACGTTTGTATAGCAGAATTGCCTGTATTTAATCTATATGAGGTGGGAAATATTTACAATTTAGACTGTGGGTATGCTTGCATAATTATCTAAAGGCATTTAATTGACTTCAGGTCCTTAAGGGAAAGTCAACATTCTAAAAACCCAACCTTACATCACTGCTAATTTCATCATTCGCCTTACACCTAATGACACAGTCTAACAGGCAAAACGCCTAGTTATAGCATCCGTAACATGCTAACATTAGTGAATCGGTTTTATTCGAAATCTTCTCTCTATAAGAACTACTTTACCAACAAATTTTCGAAACCGTGGAACAATTTGCCGTAACCTGTTCATAAAATCAAATCAATCCCATTATTTTTTTATTATATTGATGTTTACTTTTCTGAAATTGACTTAAGTTTGTTTACATCATTAAACATGTCATATTCCACTAGTGAAATTATACGAACATTAGATGTTCAATTATTATTATTACAAAGTCCACTCATAAAATTTCTACTCCTGTAGATATTTTACACTTCGTCCCTGGCAAACTTAACTAATTGAAATAATATTTATGCCAAACAGCAGATCATAAAACAACTTGGAACATGTGTAACGGCAGAGCTATCATAGCAATTATTCCTATTGTTGTCCTGTGCTCTCTGTCTCCGTTTTATTGTCTCTAATTATAGATCATTATAACTGCTCTGTAATGGAACTGAAAATGACCTTGGATGAACTATTTGTATAACAATGGAATGTCCTAGTCCCCTTAAAAATAATTAATATGTTAGTAGGTCATAGATAGGAGTGATGCATGTTCCATGCAGAGTGATGTTGGAGCACACTAACTGACCCACGTTTAGGTAATCAGCGCTAGAAGATAGGTGAAGACTCCAGTATATTCTTATGTACAAATTATAAATCTAAAAACTGTTTTCGTGCTGTGATTGCTACTCTTATTCAACTTTGTATATTTGGAATGTAATTCCATTCCTGATCAACCGTGTTCTGATGTGGGTACTAGTTGAGTGATTTCCTAAAAATACTAGGTAATAAGAGTAGCTGGATCGCTTAACGAAATAATAATCGCTTAACGTAATAATTCCCAAATAATGCCTCACATTGTTGTAGTTCATGTAAAAAATGTACTTCCTAGACAATTGTTGAACCATAACACTTCAAATAACCTAAAATCATATATCTGTATTTTACATAGACCTAACTACGCCTGTAGTTTGGTATGCATTCTGCAAACATTTTTAGAACATATAATTGTTTTTTGATTGATTATTTGATCTGTTTGATGAACATAAGTGAAGCCTAACTTTAAAATTTTTATCCGGTACTACAAAGCATCTGTAATGAATCAGGCTTATTTATTCGAATGTAGTTTTCAAAGTGCCATAAAGTCATAAGATAAAATCAAATTTAGGAAGAACTTGGGAGTGTTCTTATTTCAAATTTGGTCAATGATCAACACTGTCTAAAGCACACTCAAAATATAACTGAGTCACAAATAGATACTTAAATGATTAGGCTAAAGGTAAATCATCGTCATTTCCCAATTCCATTCAAGTGCTGATAGCTTCATATTTATGAAAATTATTCAACAGAAACTTGCCACTAAACCATTCTTCATAATCTTTAGGTTTTCTTCCCTTTTTCTTCTCTTTGTCAGTATCTCCAGGTTGTGGACCGAAATCCCGTTCAAAACGACGTCGGTGACTCACTGTGGAGCCTTTAGGCATTAAATGGAGAAATGTATGAACTATTCGCCTGGCCGCTTCTTTAGTTGGTGCTAAAATAAGAGTACGTGCCCGGTGAAAGCCTTGGTCTCGTAAAGAACTAGAAATAGGTTTATTTTAAACGGAATAGAAAAAAACTAAGAGGAATGATAAGTAAAAGCCACTGGATATTTAATATGCAACAAAGAATTAAGAATAAAATAGTCTTAAGTAGAGTAATTTACATTGATAGAAGTCATACTCTTCTAAGTTATTGTTCTGCATTTTGATGCACACGGCAAATTATGATTTAGTTCATTTACACTCACTTTGATTGCTTAGAACAATCACCATAATGTTTGAAATCAAGGAGATGTGTGAATTTCAAAAAACCATTTCAATTCAAATTGATTAATCAAATAGAAATATATCAGGTTCATTATGCTTTCCCTTACAGTATTAATGATAAACATATCTTTTAAGCAGCCCTGGAATACTCCAAAAGTAAGCAAGATTTTAGTACTTCAGGATTGACCATCAGATAGTATAATAAACAACCGATTAAATATATCCGGGTATTTGTAAAGGAATAAGTTATGTTGGAATACAAAAAACAACACAATATAGTCTAATTGGTCTCAATTGTCCATCATTACAAAATACTGACTACGCAATCATTTATTTCTAACTGTAACGTCCATAGAATGAACATCCGATGGTAGCTTCAGTCTTGACGTGGTGGTCGGACTTACCTATCGTGATGATTCAACCGAGCTATATTGGCTGGATCGCATGTTCTTTTAGGTCCTATCATGCCAGCCAGGCTGGTTGGAGAACGGTAAGACTGAAAGCAGCAACTTAGGGTCCGACTGTAGAGAGGTGTGACAGAAATAAGGTGTTTCCCTCGGACAACTAGCATCCGCAGCGATAATGCCTTCTTACAACGGAGGGGAGGGGCTAGAAAAGGTCGACCCTGAAGATGTCACACTTTACCCCACAGATTTTCGTCTTCGGAAGTAAGGCCTTTCGAAGTGCGGAGCGAACATATCAAAAACTTCTCATAAAAAGACTGTCCGACCGGCCTTAAGCAGTTGTCTCTTGTGCTTCGCGGTCACGCTCCCAAGTCACTAAGATTACCACTAATTCCGCCTTCTTCTCCGATCCCTCAAGAAAAAATATCCTTCCATGGTGGGGGCGACCGGGAAATGACAACGGCCCTCATACCTCTGTCAGCACCTGAGATCACTTTGTTGACAATTAAAGCCCTTCCTCACCTCGAGTAGCTATGACTAGAGCTATTTGACGGGTTACTACGTTGATAACTATTTGCCGACTCGCAGGAACTGTGCCTAGTTTATGAATTAACTATGTAGGATTAAATAATACTATGTTTGATCGTTATCTGTTTATGCGCTAAAGCTTAATGATGTTATAAATTTTCTGGAATTAAGAAGCATGAAACGGTAAAATATCTGGCACAAACAATCAGTGAGATATCCGTAGCCCGGTCATTCCCAACAGCTGTGACGAATAATCATAACTTTGCGATTGCTTCCTAAATGATTGTACTACTCATTCTCTCCATTGCTACACTCTCCCGTTTTATTTTCGTAATATTATACTTGTTTGTGAGATATATATCCTGGCATATATGTTACCCTAAGTGACAAGATGAACAGAATTAATTTACTCATCTCACATAATGCACAAAAATAGACTGTACATGAATGTGTATATAAAGACTATATGAATACAAAGTAATTGGAGTTTAAATGGTATATATTTCATGAGCTACAAGTAGATGGATAACTCACTCAGATGCACCGAATTGTTTTTCTTTTTCATTATTCTTTGATACAAGCGTTTGACACCTACATTAACGAATATTTTCCAGTTCTACCCAGAAGAATTACTTACCTAAGTGAATGATTTAATGCATGAGAACAGTACAACAGACGTATTGACTCGTTTTCAGGTGTACGACGGCAATAAAATACATCCTAGATTTATAAATAGAATAGACTTCTTGTAGAAGAGATAACCACCTCATAATTTGTTATCATCTTGTATAAAATAAAATCCTCTGCTTTGATATCTGGTTCGATTGGCTAAAATTGATCAGTAACTGTTATACGCATTAATAAGCTTACTAACATTCTTTGTATTGAGAAACGGAAACATTTTACGATCAGCACTTGATTTATACCATCCTATATGCGGATTCTGAGAAACGTATTGCCTTCATTTGATTATTTACTTACGACTGCGACAGTTACTTCTGGACATCGTTGATCTTTTACTTGTTCATAAGGTATAGAAAAATGACGCAAAAAGGAAGACGCTAGTTTACATGAAAGGTTAAAAAGCTTAATGACTAACCATTTAGTTGATTATTAACTGTTTCTTCCATATTATGTTAGAGATTACCAAGGTCATAAAGATATCAGAGCCTTTAAATGAAGAGTATCAATTAAATTAATTATCCATCTACGATGAAAACTAAATCAGCTATTTCATCCAAAAATATAGAACATGAAGATAATCAGTGAAAGGTTTTAGTAAGACATTGGTTACAAGTGAAGTCATGTCCCAGTACTTTTAACGGTTAACAATAAATAAGATTTATTTCAATGAACAGAACTACCCAAATACAATACGAGCCTGTGATTGCTGGCATGCACTTCTAAATACTCAACTTTGTAAATCTACATTACAAAACAAGTTACACATATACACATAATCGGTGACCAATCACTTATTATTTATTTATTTAAACACATAAATATTGGTACAATGAAGCACCAGATAAATATGCGCCTCACAAATCTCATTCGATTTGTGTGAGGGCTGTGATACTGCCCAGGTGCCCAGACTGAAGCAGGTGGTTTTCTTAGGGGGCCACACCCGTAGCCTTTGACCTGAATGTCTGATCCACAAGGCAGTGGAGCATCGTGAGGAGATGCAGTCCCATGGTAGCCGTTGACCAATGACAGGTTCGTCCGCCATTCGTTCCATCAGGATACTGGAGCCCATGTGCACCATTGGTTTGGAATCAGGGTTTTCCAACTCCCCTAGGTGGACCCTCCATGTCCACCAATCCGGTTAATGCGCCGGACATTCGCTTTTCGTCCTCTCACTTTCGTAAACAACACCCCCATCACGAGAAGACAGTGAGTAGGACCAATCACTGGCTGTTTATTCTTCCAAAGAAGGTATATAAGACAGACAAATACACACACCAAACAATGAAAGATATTTTTCTGATGAAACAGTATAGAGGGAGCATTACAAAGAGGTATAAGAACTGAGGGAAGAAATATTTCAAATTGAAAAACAACAGAGACCGGTTTCGTTTCTTTTAAAGTGACATCATAGTGTCCATAAAATACAAGACTATAACAGAATAGTAACCATATTCTTTCTGACCCATACCTCATACAGTTTTAAGTATCTTAAGTCACCGCAACTGTTAACAACAATCTACCTGTTTGAGCTCATTAATAAAAACATTTTATTGTGCGAAAACTCGGGAATTGACAGTCAATTAAGCACTTCCAACAGCTATCAAGTTTGTCACTAATTATTAAACCTCTTCCTCATCCAAACTATTCTTTCATAATCTTTGTATCAAATTTCTTTTAGCTTAAATCTTTTCCATACTTGCAATGGGAACACGCGAATCGAGACTATAGTATTGGAGTCAACTACGACAAAACATTGTTATAAAGCCTTGATCCCGAGGTAGATTTACACGTATTCGGCAGAACTTATACAGCTGCGGTTAAATAGTATAAATCTCATAATTGGCTGAAACCAATCTCAAATTCTCACCCTCGGAAAGGATTGGCAGTTCTAAAAAGTACGTCGGAATTTATGACTGAACACAAGACTAAAAAAGCATGTCGAGACTTTTTTCTTATCAGAAATCGCCAGGGACGTAGTTTGGCATAGAATATTGGTGGGCGGTCTATGCTCTTCTATGATTGGGTAACAGGCGTAAGTAACTTTCTATCAGAAAGATAATTAACACGACGTTTAAAAACGATCGCTGAAACCTGAGCAGTGAATGCTGTGAAGCCCAAGATCCTGCATATAGTCCACAGATGTAAATTCTTAAGTTTATGTGATAGCTCTCCACTTATAATTAGGCATCAATCCGAGCGTGGAAGGCCGAAAAGCGTCATAGCATGTTAAAATGATGACAGTTATATTAGGTCAAAAATCAATCGTCCTAAGGCATTGACCACCTTGAAGTCGACCAAGTCAACTAATAACTTCGTTATGCACTATACGAACATACAGACTTAATGGGACTAATAATTAATCTTGGTTTTGAATAAAGCATACAAGCTAGTTATTATAGATGGAACACCCAAATTAAGAAGTTCCCTCACTTGCAGAACTTAGGTAGACTAATCACTAATCAACGAGACTAAAATTTATTGACGACCTTTGAACGAAACTAAAGTGATCTCGGAAAGTGTCAGTTAATCAGTAAACAGTTAGTATAGAGTAAAAAATATAAATTATACAAAACCAAAGAATACTAGCTAACAGTAGGCTAGTATTTTTCATAATCTTAGAGCTCAGAAAGTTGTACACCTCTGTCGAAACAAATTACGCAATGATGCGGAGAAGGCTAAAAATTCATGATAGCAGTTGTTTTAAATTATATACCAAACGTAATATCAACAGCAAACCAATATTTCGGAAAATCTAGTTTCCATATATATTAAACAACCTGAGAAGTCTAAACTTGCATCGAAAACATCAAATACAAATTACGATGAGGCAATTAAATATAGATATAATGTACTGCTGATGAAAATGAAAAAGTGAAAGAACAACTCATAACACACGAGGTTTAGTAGCGCATATGTCTAATATTGCGCAACTTCTGAAACCATAAAACGAATTTCTTGGTGTTGTTCCTTGAAACTATTGTTTTTTCTAACTAGAGAGGGTTGACATCCCTTGTCTGACCAGAGCTTTTCACAGTGCAGCGACAGGATCCAGTATCCTGTAAATCTGATATTTTTGTAACTAACTAATACAAACCAACAGACTTCCGTGAGATTACTACTTTGTGTTACTGTGTAATGTAAACAAAAAAATTCCCGAGATAAATAGTTTTTTTAATCTTCAGTATTGATATTGACAATGGCAATTTTGCTGCTGTAGCGCCGGAATGTAAGTTTTCGTTCTCCGTACTCCATAAACAGATAATCAGTTCAAATAACATTTTATTTATTTATTTATTTAAACACATATATATTGGTACAAAAGGGCACCAGGTACATATGCGCCACACAAAATAATGAAAGTAGGTAGATAAAGGATGAAAAGATAAGGCGGGCTGAAATGTACAACCAGAAGATTCTTTCAGTTAGGAAAGTTAGAACCATTCTTTATGTAGAAAGTAAAAGAAGGTTGCAGCAGGATCGCCACTGGCTTCTATTCTGAGCCATATCCGATAACGTCTCTAGCCACTGTGTTGCACTATCTCTCGGACCCCAACCAGGGAGTCGTGAAGGACCAACAGAAGCTAGCCCTTTGCAGCTCTCTTTCATGCCACGACACCATGTCATACACTGACCTCCTCTCCGCTTTCTCCAACCAGTCCCAGGGTCGGCAAATAATGCACGACGCGGAAGTCTCTGGGACGACATTCGTAAAACATGTCCAAGCCACCGAAGTCGGTGTTTCAAGATGGTGACACCAATTGAATTATCGTCTCTGCGCCCGAACACACGATGCCGAACCTCTGCATTACTAACATGGTGTTGCCACTGGATGTCAGCAATCCTTCGGAGACAACGATGATCGAACACAGAGAGACGTCTAACATCCTCAACTCGGAGAGGCCAGGTTTCACAAGCATAGAGCAAAACTGCTCTCACCGACGCGTTGTAGATCCGACTTTTTACAGCCAGACTAACATCACGAAGGCGCCAAAGATGGCCCAGATTGGCATAAGCCGATCTGGCTTTCATTATACGTGCATCAACCTCATCACTCACGCCACCACCAGCACTTATATAGCTACCTAGATACACGAACTTCTCAACTACTTCGATCTCCTCACCATCCAGGGTGAGTACAGGATTAGAATCCTGCCAGTCTTGTAGGAGTACTTTGCACTTGGAGGGTGCAAAGCACATGCCGTACCTGCGGACACTGATTGCCAACTGATTAAGTGCTGATTGCATGCCTTGGGCATTATCGCACAGTAAGACAATATCATCCGCATACTCAAGGTCGAGAAGTCGTTCTCCAGGCAACATATCCACACCGCCATTACTTACATCCATCAGAGCTGTTTCTAGGATGTCGTCGATGGCAAAGTTGAAGAGGAATGGGGAGATCGGGCAACCCTGTCTAACCCCACTGCTTGATTGGAACAAGGGAGAAAGGTGGTTGTATGCCCTCACTCTGCCTGAGGTGTTCCTATACAGGGCCTTTAAGATGTTAATGAACTTCTCAGGCACACCCTTCTTCAATAGACAATCCCAGAGAACAGTCCTGTCCAACGAATCGAAGGCCGCCCTGATATCAAGAAACACTACGATTGTTGGCCTGCGATAAGTATGACGGTGTTCTAACATTTGGCGGAGGGTGAAGATGTGATCAATGCATCCTCGACCAGAACGAAAACCAGCCTACTCCTCGCGAGTCAATCGTTCTCGGGTTTTAAACAACCTACGAAGAATGATAGAAGCCAATAGTTTGGACGCGATCGAAAGTAGACTTATCCCCCGGTAGTTATTGCAGGAACAACGTGAACCCTTTTTAAAGATAGGGACGACTATTGACTCATTCCAAGATGTTGGAACACTTTCTTGCTCCCAAACCTTTCCAAACAACGCAGTCAGTTCCTTAGCCAGAAAGTCACCACCATCTTTAAAAAGAGCCGGAGGTAAGTCATCTGGGCCAGGTGATTTATAACGTTTCAAGAGTTGGAGTTCCTTGCGGACTTCCGCCTCGTTTGGTGGATCAGTCGTCACCGGCCATGGGGAGCAGGACAAGCTGGTTGATGTTGCCGGAGCAGCAGGCCAGTTGAACTGCCCTTCGAAAAATTCCGCCCATCGTCCAAGACGTCGACAGATGTTAGTGATTGGCAACCCGTCATCCTCGTAGATTGTTTCACTCACACCCGACTTCTTGCTTCCAGTGGCTCGGATGAGTTGGAAGAGCTTCCGGCAGTTACCAGATGCAGCTGCTGCTTCCATCTCATTAGCACGCTCCGACCACCAGGCTTCCCGGTTTTTACACAAGCTTTGCCCGATTTCATTACGTAACAGCCTTCGTTTGTGGTCAAACTCACGGTCACCCGGAGTAGACCGACGGGCTTCCATCAGTTGTAAGGAGCCAGAAGAAACCCAGTGCTTGTAAGCGGGACGTTTCGCGAAGCCGCAAGCGGCTTTACTCGCCATTTTCATGGCGTCGTGAAGATGGAACCAATGCTCGTCTATACTTTTCGGTGGGGTGGTAGCTAACCTAGAGGCTAGCTCAGCTCGATACTTACTTGCAACAGAAGTTGCAGCCAGTTTACTAATATCAATCCGTTGGTGGTGGTCAATCCTTCGGCCACTGAAAAGTAAGGTGAGATTGGCACAGACCAGGGCATGATCAGACTCCAGATAGGTACTCCAAAAGGAGCGGCAGTCTTGTACACAACCACGCCAGCGGTAGCTGATCGCGATGTGATCAATCTGAGTCCAAGCTTGGGATGCAGAGGGAGGACGCCAGGTGGCACACCGGCGATGACTGTGCCGGAAGTTAGTGCTGGCCAGAAACAGGTTGTGGTCTGTGCACAGTTGCAGCAAACGGTCCCCGTTATCTGTCCTGCGACCAACAAGTCCCCATCGGCCACCTAGACGACTCTCTTCTGTGCCTAGACGCCCGACCTGTGCATTCAAGTCTCCGGCTAGTACTACAATATCTGTCGAACGCGCTTTCTGGAGAAGAACTGTTAACTGGTGGTAAAACTCATCCTTGATTGCATCCGGGCTGCAATCTGTCGGGGCATAGGCGGAGATGACGAAAAGACACCGTTTCTCACGCCGGTTTCTTCTCACTTTGATGGAACTTTCTAATCTAACAGCACATAACCGACTGTTAATGGGGATCCAATCGATTAGTGCTGCCTCAGTTCTAGCGCTTAGTGCGACACCAACGCCAGCAAGACCAGACGAAGATGCCACAGGGTCCCCGGATAAGCGCACGTGGAACAAGCTTTTCGAGGCGACAGATGGAGAGCGGATTTGTAGTACTTCACTAGAGTCTTGAATACGGGTCTCGGATAGACAACAAACGTCAACATTAAGACCTTCCAAAGACATAGCCAGCCCTATCTGTTGTCTGATCTGCATTAGTGTGCGAACGTTGAAGGAAGCCAGCTTGAACGGCGTACGTGGTTTCAGAAAGACTGCCTCAGTATTCATAATCGGTGGAAGCATTCACTTTCAACCAGACAGTGACTGGAGATCGTTTAGATAGGACAGATTTTCCACCAAGAGCGAGCTGCTGCATAAGTTGAAGAGTAAGGTTACACAAATTGGGGATAAAAGGGGGTGAATTAGCGATATGGTAAGTAATAATAATAATAATAATAATAATAATAATAAAGGTAATAATAATAATAATGTTAATTGTCTTGCTTTTAGTATGACCAGGGATATCGTCAATAGAGTTCATAATTTCATTCATTTGTTTGTGTGTGGGCTGTGATACTGCCCGGGTGCCCAAACCGAAGCAGGTGGTTTTCTTAGGGGACCACACCCCGAGCCTTTGACCTAAAGGTCTGATCCACAAGGCAGTGGAGCATCGTGAGGAGATGCAGTCCCATGGTTGCCGTTGACCAACAGCAGGTTCTTCCGCCATTCGTTCCATCAGGATACTGGAGCCCATGTGCACCATTGGTTTGGAATCAGGGTTTTCCAACTCCCCTAGGTGGACCCTCCGTGTCCACCAATCCGGTTATAGCGCCGGACATTCGCTTTTCGTCCTCTCACTTTCGTAAACAACACCCCCGCCACGAGAAGGCAGTGAGTAGGACTTCCCTGACAGAGGCTATATATTCGCTGGCCATGTGAGAGCATTTAGAGAGGGAAAGTAAACTCTCCCCACTCTCGGCCGTACCAGGGCATTTGGGGGCTAGTAGAGCTATCACACATCAAATACCCGCGATCATCTTCAAGTTTGTAAATCTTGAACTTCAGTGATTTCATCTGCATCAGGTTCGTAAGTTTTCTAGAACCATCAGATATCAAATTTTTGGAAGAGAGATCTGTTAATTCAAATGTAAAAATGACTAAACCTGGGTGCGAAGGAGCAAAGAGAAGACAGTGGTCAGAAGTAAACTATCTTACAACGTAGATTAACAAACAATTGGAATATCACATAAACGGAGATGTCAAGTGTTGAATTCGGTAGAGAAATACTAACGACAATGATATTATTATTGATGATAATTCTAGTCACGTATCAGACACAGCTATTCCGAGCGAAAGACGGTAAGATATAGGGAATGACGTCTCCTGACAGCAGACATTGAGTATCTTGTGTAGACAATTATTTATCAATATGTGCACATTTTTGATGACGGTTATGGTAGTTCTCCAAATTTCAACTCCGTACGGCAGAACTCTCTTGACTTTTGTATTGAAAATTCTCACTTTGATATTGGTTGACAATTGTTTTGAGTTCCATATGTTGTTCAACTGTAGGAATGCTGTTGTTGCTTTGCCAACCCTTGCCCTTATTCCTGTACCTAGTCCTATTGTTTTTCAATGATGTTGTCTAGTCATGTGAAAGTTTCAAATTTTTTCAGAGTTTCCCCATCAAACTCGAGGTACGCAGTATGAAATTGTATTGTATCATCATGATAAGTTTAGGCGCAACATAGAATATTGAACTGTACCGTAAGTGTGTTGATTATCCACCATATCTGATACACATTGATTGTCTGTTTATGTGTCTGTAGAGTTGTCTGGGTCTACTTCAATTCCGCTAGCTCTTCTCAATTGTTTACCATACTTTTTTTATATTCTTAATTGATCTGGAACACAGAGTTGTTTAAAGAGTCATTAACAAAGAAATCATTGGAATCGGAGTTAGAACTATCCATCTGATGTACACAAACATTTACAGAATTGGGATCAGCTAGAGAATGATCAGATCTACAACTGGAATCACCTACATCATTCATCTTTGCTTGGTTTATATGTCTGCTGTAAACTGAATAGTCATTTAGATCAAGAATCTTTACCATACAACTAAACATTCTATGAATTATAACCCCCGTAGATGGCCGGTGGTCATTACTTTTCGTAGAACTGTAGTTCAACTAAAACACAGAGATAACGATAGTATAAAGTTTGGAGTAAACGTGATATAAAATTGAAGAGCACCAATGCATAGCCTGAATGCAGAGATACTCGTAGGTGACGTTGCTTGAATCGATCAAGCTAAACGACTCACATGGTGTTTATAACCCTTAGTGCCTACATTGTAGTCTGGAAACTTGATGAAATTGGGCCGAAACTGACCCTTGAATGTACTTGCGGTCATAGTTGTATCACAAAATCGTCCAATCAACTTCAAAAGACGTTCATGATGGAGCTAACATCCCCAGCATGAACTGCGATATCATCCTGGTACGATTAAACACCATCAAGGCAGGTGGCGATCTGATTTACAAGCTTCTGAAATATCACAGACAGAAAGTTTTATGCGAACGGTAATAATTTGTGTCTGGACGGCTCGATTGGTATTTTAAAAGTAATTATTTCACCAGATCTCTCCTCCAGTTTAATTTTCAAATACTCGTTTTAAGGTCTATTTTAGAGAAACACCTTGACACTCATAGTTTATATTGAACATCTCCAGTTTCTTGAATGGCACCACTATGTCGCAGTGGTGGAAGATTTTGCTTCGGGCGGTAGTTCTTTAAACTCCAGACGATTTATATATCCAGCTTTAACTGAGTCACAATGGGAGTAGCCCAAATGGGCGACTCCAATGAGGTTTATATTCTTTCTCAACTTATCCCACTAAACTCGAACTTCACACCTTCTTCTAAACCATAGTAAAATTAGTCTATACCTCAAGAAGAAAGGTTTTCTCTTTACTTCTAAGTGTGCCAGTTGAATTTCGAAACGTCCCACCGATCCTCCAAAATAGAAGTGATTACCGAACCATCTGTCACATGTTTCCGAATTAAAAAACGTTCGTCGCTACACTGCAATCCAGTACTCGCCAGACATTTCACACAAATTACAGCTTATGAAATGTGCAACTCTATCAGATGACTGGAATTATCACTGGAGTAAATATTCCGCTTATTGAGCGTCCGTTTTAAAAAAACTGCCTAATCAACAGTACTGAATCAGCCAATCCATATTTTTAATGATCAATTTATTAGCAGCTTGACATATTTGTTGCTCACAAACCTGGATGAATGTCTAGCAATCCTAATTTGGTTATTTGTAACAATGAAAACTCAGGCAAGTGAAGTTCACCATTTATCAAGTCAAAAATATACCAAAATCACAGTTTCAAACATAAATGAGCTCCAAAATCATTTACATATGTCTCACCTCCCTAGTTATGGTAGTGATGAACATGCATGTTTATAGTTGTTTATAAATTGTAGATTGAAGCAATTGAGCGTTAAAATATCTATGAATGTTATATAACTTGCTAACATACAGCCGTAAACAGTTCTTTCCATTATATGTATGATCGTTTTCGACTGGACTGATATGTTATTACGTAAGGTATCTGAGAAAGGAAAAATATATGAGTACCATTTAACGTTGATGGCCTTTTCTGCCCGCTTTCTAATCATTTACAGGGATTGTACATAGCATTACTGTGAGTGCTGTAGACCATCAACGTCGATGATCTATGTCGAATGATTCGAGGCCTACTGGAGTAAGACAGGAACGGTGTAACGAACAAGCTAACTTCGTAGTCACACCTCGCGACCAGCACCTTACATGTATTCCTCCATCGACGTATCAAGGTACCATGGATGCTCTGAAGACTGTACAACGCAAAGGACGTTATTACAGGAATATATTAGTTAAAGTGGATACAAACGAAAGTAGAACCACTGCCGCGTGGGCCAGTCCATGGCGTATGATTAACTGATGCGCGTTGATTGTTCTAGACCTTGACGAGGATCGATGATCCGTTCGATATTTAGTGACCCAACTGCCGGATGACTTGGCTAGGGTTCAGTGACATTTCACTGGCCCTACAATACTCCCTCACCAGATTCAACGGCCGTTTGAATCGGTACCAAACATGTTGGGAGTAGTCGCGCGCCGGAGGTTGCCAGACGATTAATATGAATCCTCCTGATGTTGCCGAGCTGTAAGACAAATGGAAAGGAGGCAGCAGAAACTGATCGGAAAACAACGAGTAATAACGCGTAACTAGGACGTTAGTTGAATGTTAAGTGATCAACCATAGAAATAATAGAAAAAACATGACATTTTAGAGTTCTATCAAGTCGCGTTGAAATCGATGGCTTTGACAAGTGATTGAGTTTCTCAGATGAGAAACGTTAAGTTTGCCTCAAGAGTAGTGATGTCACAGTGATAGTACGATAAGTGTATTATAAATCAGTGCCGATGTTTGTACTGCCATCGATTTAGGGTAGAAAGTGAGTAAGTGTCGATGACAACTGTTCGTAAGTGTCGACTTCTAGTTATATCCATATTTAACAGACTAACTGTAGGTACAGAAGAATAACTGTGAAGGCAAGTCGTGATTTCGTTGTGCGAAGCTACTGATCAACTTGTGGTCAATTTGAAAATTCGATGACTTCTGTTACAATCAGTAAGAGTCGAAGACTATGGATCGAGCGCGAAGGTGGGATGATCAAGCCTCTAAAAGATGATAAACGGTGAGTGTTGCATGTTTGTTCGATGAGTGAACCGAACGATATCGAAAAGAACATAAGGAATTCTGTCAAGTAACTGGAAGGCCTAAACTTTTCTAATAATCAAGTCTATTCAGGTGAACAAGTTAGCGGATTTCTAAATATGGAAGATTATGCGGAGAAACAATTTACAAATTGACGATCACTGTGTTTCGTATTGACTACTGCCGCGTTTATTCATCTGAATAATTACGAAATATAAATATGACAACTTTACAGATCACTGCATTATAAATCTTGTCAGTATGTGTAATTATAGTCTACTTCGGTGCTAATACTGTGAAGTGGGTTACTGATATCCACATAAGTAGTACATAACAATGGACAGGCATTGAATGCATCTCAGTAGAAGATCGATAAAGAGAGAACAGAAACGGCACGCAATTGGTACGAAAATGCATGAAAAATTATAATCGGAGACTATGGAAGGATATTTGCAGAAGAAACGGTTTAATTGAGACAATTGATTGTTATTTTGCAAATTGACTGTTCACTTTGGGGTTCTCAAATTTTAATGAGATATTCTGTAGTGTTGTGCTAAAATACATACGATTGTCCCCAGTCGTGTTCTTGTTCACTACAATACTACTTTGATAATAGACCTAGTCCGAAAACAGTAAATTTATCGTGTGATTGCCTAATCTGTAAGATTTTACGTGGAAATCGCACAACTATATATGCTGACCCATCGTATCGCGACAACTAACAATGATACTTAGTACTTCTGAACAACATATTAATGTTGGGGATCAAATAAAGTACCTAATGTGAATAGAAATAAGCTAAACATAATGAACACGTCTGCAAGACTGAGCCATACTTTGTGGAACTCCTTTAAGACACAATCAAATTCAATCCAGCTTACGAAACGCCTGTTCAGTATTATGCGTTTGATGATGCAACGGATGTTCTAATTTTACAACTAGTTACCAGTAGCACCTCCTATGTTCGATCGTTCCCAGTCAGATAGAAATCAGAAGTCAGACGAGAAGAGGCAGGAAATATATATTTGATTCGTTACCAATATATCGAGGACCTTTTCTATGAGCTGGCTAATGAAACGTAGGAGCTGTGTCCCACGCCGAGTTGAAACGTGATCTGGTGCGGATGCATGACCGAAAGCCTTCAGCTAAACAAGTCCACTTAAACAACGTGGTCAGCATCCAATGTCGAACACTTAATGAACTATTGATTTTGGGGAATTATTTACAGCTACACGTTGAAACGCCTCGCTTAGGTTCACTGGAAAATCTCTTGAACATGAATTACTACAAACAGCATTTAATAATTATTAAAAATCTATTTCTGGGTAAAATACTTTTATGACTGAGGAACGTACTACAAACATTTAAGACTTACCGGTTACTCGGGATTTTGTCTTTATTCTTGCGGAAAACAACGATTCACGCAAACTAAGAGCATCTTTGACTGTCAAGTTATTCTCAATACAATGTTTTGTGGACCCTAAAATGTTTTAAACAAGAACACTGAGGATATCCCAGGTCAAGTTACGAAGCAACAAAAGAGGCAAGGTGTACACCGCAAAGCAGAAGAAGCTAAATTAACGCTTTTCGCATTGATTTTGTAAATTTACTGCAGCATAACACGACTCAAATACGAGAAAACTTGATATTCATGCAATACAACGGACACCCTACAGACTCTAAACAACTGAAATACGGAATGACCGCCTTTTGTCTGGCCTTTCAAGGTTGTTAGAACGAAACGGCGGGCGGCTTTGAAAGGCGTGACTTTTGTTTTTACTTTGCCATTGATCTTGGATACTTTGTAGCAAGTGAGTTGTTATTTCAAAAATAACTAGTTATACTTAAGACTAGACCGAACAACGTTTCGGTGAAAGGATCTATTAATACTAACACTGTGTCGTTATGCTATCTTGGTTGTCTGTCAGTACATCCAAAACGAGTTATATTAAGTCGCTCAAATTTCTCACTTGAATTAGCCTTAACAATAATTTTTTTCTATAAAAAACCAAGGCCATCACACATTTAATGTGATAATTCACGTTTGTAACTTGTGTTTCTAGGGGGTAGCTTTTATCGCAGTGTTTCATGACTCAGTGAGTCACATACCCTAAATATAAATTTGTATGTCCCACAAGTTAGATCAGGAAGCCTACTATTAAAGACAAGTCAAAATTTACACAAGGTTAAAAAGAAAAAATGATATGAAAGGTGGAGTCGAAATAAAATCATCAATAGTAGTGGGAACTAAACAGAATATATCTAGAACTGAAATAATTACTCCGAGATGAAATTATGGGTAAGCACTGGGGCTCGTTACTTAGCGGAGTCTAAAGAACGAATGTGCATTCTTCGCTGCGCCTGAATTACTGCTGAGTACCAAACTATAGGCTAACGGACAGTTACTATGTTGGGGTAAAAAACTGGATTAGTATTATTTGTCCCATCGATCTGGGAGCCTAAAAGACAACTATCTAAAGCCCATCATGCGAAATTTTCAGGACATATTGTTTCTGTAGTCAATGTGTATTTTTAGTTTAGACACAACGTCAGATGGGAGGAGCTGTGGTTTGTTTGTTTGCGACCTTTTCTAGCCCCGTCTCACATACAAAAAGACAGCATAGCCCTTAATGTTGGCTCCGTGAGAATCACTTAATTGTCGTTTAACCGAGGTGGTCAGCAGTACGTTTATCTTCAGACATGAGTTATACTGTCTCCGATCTTAGTTTTTTTTTCGTTTTACCCGCCAGGAATAGTAAAATATCAAGTTACTTGGTAAGACATGATCATCATAGGCCGTCATGATCATTGCATCAAGAAGGCAGATACGTTTGGTACGATGCTCAAATCCATTGGTGATAGTCATTTTCTAATTCAGGAAGCTTGGTATGTGGTATCGTGTATCCAATCTCTGTAGTTTCCATATTTCATCTCCATGAACAATGGAGAAGTGATCAGTTTTTGACGTAATGATCTTAGTTGACTTCTGAATACTAAATATATGCGGAATGCATAACGAAGAGCACTAGTAGCTGGATAAATTCACAAAGTGCTGAATACGATTTAGTTTTCCAACTTTAAACGTCTTATGGCTAATAACTTACTGATATTTATCAAATGTCCTTTATTCCATGCACACTGTATTTTGATTTTCAGACCTCGAAACCGATGAGATAATCCGTTCTGACCATCATCAATGCAAACAATTTATTTTATTTCGTATCTTCTACTTCTAAATTCATGAAGTTCGAGAACCAGACCAAACATTTCTCTCATCACGTTAAAGTGGGTCCATGCTTCACTCGCCCTGCTTATCGAGATGGTAGGCGCAAAACAGCTGTAAAGGTAACTCGCAGCCTTTTTATTTCCCAGGTCTTCACCGTAGCTGATGAATCATGTTATCTCCTGATATTTGGAGTCCCCTCACTGGACCTGGAGCACCCTTTAAAGGAGAGGTGCAAACAGTATGGGAATGTCCAAAGTGTGGTGAAAATTATTGACTATCCAAACAAAGAAACATTTACTGATGTTTTTGTCATAAAGTACAATAATCTCAAAGCCGCAAGGTGTGAACGTATTCCTTTTACATATTTATGAGAATTAAGCTTGATAGCTAAATTCTTTTTCGTTGTAAAAATTCATGAGATTTTTCCTTAAATGTTATCTAGATATGCCAAGCGTTTATTAGATGATTCTTCTTTCTACGGAGGTTCTTTACACGTTTGTTATGCACCTGAATATGAAACTGTGGCTGAATGTCGTTTGAAGCTGTACGAATGCAGGCATTTAAATGCAAGAATTTCCAGGAAAGTGGGTAAGGCTATCGGATGAACTCAAACTTCATACTGGTTATTATTTTAAACCACTGGACGTTTTTCACTTGTCCATCGTGATCGGTATGATAAGTTTTAACGAGATACTTTTCTGGGCCATTTGATTGTTAACGAGTGGTTAATGTGAAAAGACAAATAGAAATCACCCATTGGATTTTATCAAATGCAGAGCAGCTATCTTAAATATTTAGTCAGGTTTAATAATAATACTTGATTTCCATCACTAAAGAAACTTTAACATTTTATGAACATATGATTTCGCATTTTAACTTAGTGTTCTATTAAAATATATTTCTATGCCTAAATTTTCAGTTTGTCTATTTTGATAATGGCTAAGAGAAGTCGTTTAAAAATCTGATAGACTTCAGGATTATCAAGGGAGAAAATTTAAATGTAAGCAATCGGTTGGCTAGAAATGATAAAATAATATTTATGGAGGAATGTGACGGAGAATAACTGGTACTACTAAGAAAAGTCCAGAGTAATGTAAGGCAGTGCACCTATTTCAAGCCTTTTTATTGCCTCTGCCTTGTAGTTGCATACGCTTTTACATGCTGTTCGGGTCAATGGGTGTATGGTTTATGTTGTCACTACAGGTTTAGGTCTCAAAATTGCTTTCACATCATACACATACGAGTTAGCTTAATTACTAAACAACTGTATTGTCCTACATATTTAGTCATTGCAGTCACTTTTGCAACAGAAGAGCCATATGGTTAAAATATGCACTTGCATCTTTTGTTGTAACACATACAGATGGTGATTTTTAAAGTCACGTTTTTTGCTTCTCATACATTTAAGTCAGTCCTCATTGTTTTATAATATGATCCATCTGCAAAGAATAATTAACTGTTAGATAAAACAATATTTTGACACAGTCCTTTCTTGTTAGATCAATTTAGATTCACAAAAAAGTTCATCTGTTTGCCGCCTGATTTATGGTTCATCTATAACTATAAACCGTCAGTTAGCTAATGCTTATCATGTAGTAGGCACTATTCGAATCATTCAGTCTTCTATACGAGATTATATGACTATTTCGCGTATTTCTGTTGGCTCATATAAGATTACTCAGCGAATAATTTGTACATTTTTCAATATTTTTCGTTTACTTCAGTGAATTATTTTTCACTATGACTTACTGTTTTTTGATATTACCTTTAAGGTAAATATACTATTTATTGTCATATTTTGTTACTATAGAATTTGTTGATGTTGGGCTGTTTATTTATATTTGACTGATAATTATTATATGATGAGGAAGGCTTCTTGTTGAGTTGTCAAGTATTGGTAATCACTAGGGGGGTGTCTAAAATAAACCGCGTATTGCTTAATGTCTTTCTGTACATTATTTTTATGCAGAACACGAGTATCTTCAGAAATTTTCTACTAACTGTCAAACATCAGTTCCAGATCCTTCAATTCTTCCATTACCATCTGTAGCATCAACATCAGTAAAGTCTGATTTGTCAGAATCTGTAAAATTAGAAATATCAGCTAATCAGGATATAACTGTTCTACCGGTTTCACAAGAAAATACAATACATTCTAACGAGTCCGTCGCCTATCAGTCATATGATGCTTTAGATGACTCTCGGCTTTATTGGAGGAAACTTGGGATTACATTATTTGACAAACATCAAACAACCTGTAATTTCAGTGCTTCTTGTTCCACTACTGCTACTACCACTACTAATTATCCATCTACTTTTACACCTTGTGATTTATCAGTTGCCCCAAAGTGAGTGTATTGTACACTCTAGGTTTTACTGTGTTCCTGTTACATTTTTTATTGTCTTAGCAATAGTAGCGTCTGATTTTTTCAATGGAAATACTCATTTTCGTTGTAATTTCACGACAGGAGTAAGATGACCGTAATTTTTGTGATGGTCGAATTTTCATTCCTTAGTCTCAATAGATAATTGTCAGTAACGATTCAATATAACTACATCACCTTAAATCTAACAAACTTAACACTGCTGATAAAAATATTACGTTAACACAGATACCGATCAGGTTGTTATTAGGTGAGATATTATGTCCTGATTCTCGTTTCATTATAATACACCACTCTGTGCATCAGAAAGCATACCATTCAACTTCAGAGTTAGCCACATAGAGTTGCCACAAAGCATTCAAGTGAACATTATTCTGACGATAGCTGTGATCATACGTTGTTAGCTGGGGAACATCTTTGTCCAGGCTTCACAATCGGAGAATAGAACTTCGCTAACAGAGTTGTTGCTTACTTGAGGTTTTACAGTCAAATAAACGTCTTGTCGATCCTAACGTTCCTATCCACTTATAGTGTCTTTTCTTAATTTCCTCTTCAGCTGGAGGTTGGTTTGTTCTCTGACATGGTAGGCTGTTATTGATGAATTCCGGTCAACGGGAAATGAGTATCTTTAATAGACAACTGTACTTTCCGTTGAATGATGGTTGTAGTAGTTCTCTAAGTTCCAACTCAGTACAATAGAGCTATCTTGACACTTTATTGAAAATTCTGATTTTTATCTAATTCAGGAGTATCAATCAAAAGAGTTAATGATCTCTTGCAAGCTAAGTAGGTGTAAGCTAGTTACTGAAAATATGCTGTGATAAAAACCTATCAAGAGTTGGATCAAAGATTAATCCGATGTGATAATCCCCGGTCTAACGTTCAACTGTATTTTGACAAATTCAACCACTAATTTTCTCAGTGTGTTATACTTCATTGTATTCTAGTAATTATTTCAGGTTGTTTCAACACTTGTTTAGCGTAAAATCCGTTTTCAACTATGATTATTGGAATTTAATTATTGATCACTGGAAAAGAAATCCGTGTGCAATGAATGCTGTTTTTCCTTAAGATGCATATTCTCAGGCTTGATTTCGTCTTTTTATCATCTGGAGTCTGGGTTGAAAATATGCGGGTGCTAAGTAATCGCGTCAATATCATCCAATAACGTAACGAAGTACAGATTACAGTATTAATAAATCCTCTTCCTACTCGATAAACTTTGATGCAGATCACACATAAGCATGAAAGCTCCCCACTCATGACCTTTAAATAACTAAATGTAGCATTTCATATTTTACTTTGTATGGAAAAGTTAAAGTACTTGTAATTTATTTGATAACTTGTTTATTTTTTTTTGTTTAGACGATCAATACCCCTTTCTGTCCAACAAGCTTTAAGTTGTCGACCATACTTGGAGAATATTTCGAAACCTAGTACATCGTTGTTAGTCAGCAAGGTACCCTCTGAAAATAACAAAACTATGAAGCATTACTCATATAACTCCTTAATCCCACGCGTCATAATTAGTAAAGAGTATAGAAAAAGGCATTCAAAAAACCCAGAAGCTCTTTCACAAGTATCAAAGTCAACAGCTCCTATTTCTGTTGGTGAATTAAAACGATTAGCATATTCATTAGGTCCCAAACAAGGACCAAGTTTGCCTCCAACACAAGATCAAAGAGGAAATATTATTGATCAAACAAGGTTAGTCAACGATTTTTACTACGAGAGTAAGCTTCGGGAAGTTGACGTCAAGACCGCAGATTAAGAAAGTTTACTATTACTGTTTTCAGGTTACTTCTTGTACTTTCACTAAAAGAATAGTTCTACCTGCTTTCACTGATTTTTTCAGTTAATATTGCCATCAATAATACAAGTTAGTCTCATATAAGGTGCTTAGATGATAAACACATTTTCCCTTGCATTTATTGAAATGCCCTTCACTTTAAATCACTAGATGTTTGGTTTTGTAGGCAAATCATACCCATTCGAACGATTATGTTCATATTCCGGTCTGTATAAACTTTTATTCACTTGCATACTATAGCTAACTTGTTGGATATAGATATTTTTCCACAGTGTAAATATATATTCATTTTTCTGTAAAGGTTTTTCATGATTTTGTGGGTGAAATGAGAAGAACAAATGCTGATTAATAGGCAATATCCAATGATATAAAGTGATAGAGTGGTGGCTACTAACGAGAAGAAATTATTGGCGTAATTCCTCGATTGTTTTGAAATCAAAGACAAGACTGCTAGCTAGAAATATAAATCTTTTATGTCATACAATGAAATGCTTATACACAAAATATTTATGTAAAATAAACATGATAGATTGGAAGAAATCAGTTGGCAGGTCACTCATTCCCTAATCTGATTGTTAGAACTAATTTTTGGGCATCTTATTACATTTTTAGAAACCGTGTCACATGTCATATTTATTTATTTACTTATATGTGTATTTGAATTGTTAAACGGAATCTATTTAGTTATTCAAGATATATGCCTCTTATTCCAACAGCGTTTCACTGTTAATGGTTTTCGGGTTCTATTAGAACTAGAGCCTAGTTAGAGATCCTTCAGTTTCCAACATTGACCTTATAGTCAGTAAGCTTATGCATAGTTTTATTTTTTATTTATTTTATTTAAACACATACATATTGGTACAAAGGGGCACCCGATACATATGCGCCACACTTTTTTTGTGTGGGCTGTGATACTGCCCAGGTGCCCTGAGCGAAGCAGGTGGTTTTCTTACGGGGCCACACCCCGAGCCTTTGACCTAAAGGTCTGATCCACAAGGCGGTGGAGCATCGTGAGGAGATGCAGTCCCATGGTAGCCGGTGACCAACAATTGGTTCATACGCCATTTGTCCCTCAGGAACTGGAGCCCATGTGTACCATTGGTTTGGAATCAGGGTTTTCCAACTCTCCTAGGCGGACACTCCGCATCCACCTACCCGGTTAAAGCCCCGGACATTCTGTTTTCGTCCTCTCAATTTCGTGAACAACACCCCCTCCACGAGAAGGCAGTGAGTAGGACTTCTGTGGCAGAGTCTATATACGCGTGACCATGTGAGAGCATTTAGAGTGGGAGGGCAGACTCTCCCCACTCTCGACCGTACCAGGGCATTCGGGGGCCTTATGCATAGTGATAGTCTTTATTACGCTTATTAGACTAAGCTTCCTAAAATTTATCTACACTTTAAACAAAATTGTACCTTATATGCTAGGCAGCTATTATGTGCGCTCAGCATTTGTACCAACATAGAAAACTAGTTTCGAAGGTTGAAATTTATCAATTAAAGAATATATTGAATTGGATTCTAAATTCTACTCTGGTAAAAAAATTATCATTCTCATAAATAACTAGTCAAATATTAGACTTGAAGACTCAAAATTCCTCAGTTCCACAATATTGTTTATAAAATGTAAATATAATCTGGTTTAGTTAACCTGTACTAAATATTACCAGTAGAAATAGTGTTAAAGGAAATCGTATTTCAAACATTTTCTGATTTTTTTTACTTCACTTCATTGATCACCGCAATCTTCACTTGCTATTACACTGCCTTTTATAATTAGGATTGTATTTCATCGTTCGAATTCGAAACGACATTGTAAACATCCTTCAGAATCTGAAGACAATTGAATATGTGACACTCATTTTGTCGTTCATAATCTTCCAGGTGAGTTCTGATATAATTTATGCTGAAAGTAGTTGATAATCGAATTCCCCAGATATTTTATTAACTGAATCATCGTTTATGTGTATAGTTGTTATAACTCGAACTGAGACTTGAGATACAGAACACGGTAATATGACTCAAAATACAAAACAACCACTGTTGCATATGAACATTGATTTGTTCATCCTAAATCAAGACATCGTTTACCGAAACACAACTTAAAACGAGTGGTACGTCTCGCGTTGTGCATTGCAGTTATTTTTTCGAAGTGGCTACCGGCCCCGCACAGGACTGTGTTAATTAAAAAATGGAGTTCGTAAGAGGATGGTAATCTATAATAATCCAGATTTTTTGGATTTAAGGAACTGTATCAATCTGAAAGCCTGTCAGCTGCCCAGAATTGAAATATGCAAAGAAGTTGGTCAAATAATCAAGTTGTCAGGAAATACATTTTCAGTCATCTATCACACTATGAGGTATACTATTGTAACGAATGTGGTGGAGTGCAACTACTCTTTCAAATACGAAATGCAATTACCATGTCGGCATATGACTGATGAGGCTATTCAGTTCAATGATACGATCAATCGAACTGGTTTATATGATAGGCGGTCGGCTTCGTCTTGTAAATAGGTGAAGCTTGGAGATATGTTGCAACAAATGCTGAATCCAACAGTATACAAGCAACCGACTGACCTCGACATAACGAAAGATATCATCCAAATGTTGAATATTCTTCAAGATTTCTGGTTGATCATCAACTTTCTGTGATATATTTTGTTTGCTTTCATTCAGTCTCTGGTGACCTGGGTCTAGTTTTAGAATTTCACTCCCATTATGGATACCTCTGTAAGTAGTATTATTTTGCACTAGCAGCACTTGTCTAAATACTGTGATCGACTTTTCCATTTCTCTAGACATGTTATGTTGAAGATACATAAAAAATATAAGAATTTTTTCAAGACCCCGTGAGTTAGACTCGATGTCACTGGTATAGGTTTATATTTACCGTTTGGTGCTCTTCGTGTAAATCAAATGCAGAAAGAATCGAAATTCGCTAGCTGTGATATTTTGTTAGAATCATGTTAACATAATGAACTAAACACGCTCACCGAAGAACGTTGAGTTTAAAATGAACAGGGTATAATACATAGTGCGTTTCTGGAAAATTGGTAAATAGGGCAATTTTGTGACAGGATTTTCTTCACTGACGGAAAATCCTAACCAAAACACTATATCGAACAAAAGCTGAAAGCGTAAGAATCATCTCAGAAGTTCTGACGAAGAATCTCAACGCCACCGGTGTCGCCTTCATGGAGTCATTTAATGTGACAAACTCGTATAGCTACATTCCCTCCCTGTTGCTATTTTCGGTACCGTCAATACCTGTGAAGTCCGAGAATCAGTGGGTTACATTTCGCTGATCTGCTGTTTAAAAAAGCACCATTCAAAATCATGTACATCACGGTACTTCTAAGCTTCATCCCCAAGACCAAGGATATTTTAATATAACTTTTCAAAATGACCTATTAACGAAAGTTTATAAGACACTTTATACCGATCTAAAGGTTTTGGCTGTCTAGACACATGTCAGTTTGTTAAATAAATCTTGTGCAATTATTTTTTGAATAGGGATCACCGGGTAAGTAATACTGAAGTTAGACATAGGGTATTAGGGTATGATGGTTAATCAGTTGATGGGGTTATGAATCTCCATCGACTGAAATGGTTGGGCCACATGCTACGTATACCTGAAAACGGATTACCACGACGCACGATGCTGACTAGTATTGAGGATGGTTGGAGGAGGGTGCAGACTACTTGGTTGGGGTTTGCGTGACTATCGTAACCAATGGTTGGAGACCGTGGGTGACATGAATCAGAATTGATCACTATGGCGTAGGTGTATACACTCTCTGTCTTCCCTTAAACTGTAAGATCAAAATTGATTCATATCTTTCTTTCTTCCTGTACTATATCCGGTAATAGAAGGTGAGGAGACTGTAGAGTAAAATGTCTTCTATAAAAACTCAAAGTAGTACTAAATGAAATCCAAGAAAACATATTGGACAAAATCCTTCGCTAGATTATTTACGTGACTTCATGTTTAACCCTTTTCTAATAATGATAACGCTACCCGGTAATCAACATTATGGTTTAAATATAGTTTAAGTTATAGAGGTTAAGCGATCGATAAATAAGTGTGTCTATAAGCCTTCAGTTACTTTCCATTAACTATGAGTTCTGAATAGAGGTGGACATACGTTTTGAACCTCATTGCTGACTCCTACAGAATGTTATGAAAGTTTGGGCATTAACTTTATTATGTGAATAGATTTTGAATCATACTAAGAATTATTCAATTATACAACTTCCCTAACTTATATATATTCATTTTAAAAGGTATGATTAGTGAATATGCTGCTGATAATTAATTGGATCATCACTGTACACTATATCTTCATAGAGGGTACTGAAGATTTAAAGAATTGAATGAGATTGATCTTGTGGATATTTGTGAATATTTGTTTGTTTTCTTTGAACTTACTTCGCACATGACCAAATGTAAGAGCATTTATATGTTGTTTTTTTTGTTACTTAGATGGTGAGAAAGGGGATTGTTGAATAAGAGTGTCACTCTGTTTGATGTTTGGAATGGTAATTATTATTACAATCCATAATCTATCTATCTATCGATTGATTATCAGATGTGCTTACCTTCGCCTTCAACTAAAATAAATGTACTGTAACGTTAATCGGACACAATGTAGAGCAACCGTCTGAATTTTAGTCTCATTATAAATATCATCCTTAAAGTTTTATCATGCATGCCAACCTTATCGTTCAAGGAATGGTATTGCTGTACAGAATTATTTTGATGTGCTGACCGAATTTAATGTGATTAAAGTTTACAATTTAGTATTACTGATTCAGAATCAAAGTGATTTTGATTTGTTCACATTTATGATTCAAAATTTATGGTATGAATTACTAACAGATACCATAACATAGTTCTACAAGATGAAGATCTCATGATGACTGAATTAGAGCCATATATATCATTCTATTACTGAACTACAATTTTTAGTTACAAACCTTCAAGATATGTAATTCCACTGAATTTTCGAAGATTAGGAGTCTCATGTGTGTCTATTGTTGATCAAACAAAACGGTTATTTATTAAAAATAATTTTAGGACTGTGAATGATCGGTATCACAAAATGAATAATTACAGGCTTTAAACATCTATTTGAGTATATTAACCGGAAATAAAAGTTCTAAAAACTGATGTCTTTTAGAATACCAACATTTTCATATTGTCTATTATAAGCATTCCTTTAATTAAACATTGAAGTAGTGATCTAGTTGTCTAGCTAGTGAAGCGTTGGCTAAGTGATTAAAGTACTCGACTTTCAGCCACTAAGTCTCGGGTTCGAACTTCTGCTCATCTACTTTGGTCTTGGGAACCGGATAGTATCACTAACCTCACTTAGGGTGTTACTTGAAGCTAATTCCACGAATTTGCACCTGGTGAGTCAATAAAAAAGATAGGAGTCAGTTTAATGATCAAGATCCTCCTTAAGTTACATTATTACAGAAAAAATAATCTATTTACCTGTATCCAATTGATATGATTCATCAATAAATATTAGGAAAATTTCGGGGCTTGGAGGGAACCATAATAATATCACTACATAGAAATTATCAGATGGGTGTATGAAGTCTAAATTAATCATTTAGCAACAGTAAATGGATAAGTTATTTAGCGAAATTAGAAAAAAAAATCCAGTACTATTTATCACAAATATGCTAATGTTGTGTCTGGAGTAATAATAACTAGTAAATGGTAAAATTAATTGTTCACCATATGTTTCCAGACATCTTAACATCTGGTTGTTGAATTTAAATGACCTATTTTTATGAAAACCAATACTAACTAATGAACATTAGTCAACCTATGATTTTTCTTGTTGTTAACGATCAATTAAATGGAATGTTTCATTTTTTTACAGCAGAACATGAACGATCAAAATTAGGATTATATGACACGAATCTGTGATGTACCAGCTGAAGTTTTCCTACTATCACTAAGAGATTTTGGAGGTTGTTAAATTACAGTTAAATCATGAACTGATCTAAGTTACATCATCATTGAGAACTTGGATGAACTAGACGCCCGTTTCATCCTAGTATAGGACTCAGCATTGCGCATGCATGACCTCGGACATAGGACTTGAACCCAGGATCTTTGGTCTTGTACGCTAAAACTTAACCTCTGAACCACTGAGTCGGCACCCAACTGTGTTAATGTCTAACTCCAATCAGTTCACGACATTGCGTGACTATCTTTCATTGTCCGAATATTCTTTACATGATTGAACTTATTAATTCGACAGTCATTCTCACTACAAGATCTTTATTTACCAAACTTGTTCCTGTAATGTACAGCTAGTGAATTTAGTCAGTCATAAGGAACGTGGAACCTGACACATGTGCATCAAACCATGTCGAGACAGCGAGATGGGATTATAAAGACAAATGGCGTAGTAGTAGAAATAGCAAGATAAGTAATATAAGAAAGAAACTTGACACAGATATAAGATCCAAGGAAAAAGAAAAAATCCGCTGGTTTGAAAGCATGAGTATTTTAAGAAGCGAATACATGTGGTTGGTCCTGAGTCATGTCATTCATTACTTCCAACAATTATTTTTCCCAACCAATTTGTCTACACCTACCAACACGGTTCAAAACAACAGTTAGTAACTTCATGGAATAATGCTACATGTTGGCTTGGTCAACCTTAGCTTTTTCCTACGCCAGGAAAGTTCGCGGATCAAAGTACGGCTAGGTTTAGGGTACGTAATACCTGTCCTAACCACTTCAGTCGATGATAACTGACTATCTCACCAACTGATTTGCTATATTTACCTAGCATTCTACATCCAACTAACCAAGACAAAGTAGGAGTTCTAGAGTCTCATACTTTATATGTACAATGAAATAGACGCCATAAAAAGTTTGTGTTTAAGATGTTCATCGCCCAACTAATAAGTCCGACTTCCTTGTAAGTGTTCAGCTTATATATGTTTGACAACTATGTTTTGTCTTGATTTGTATCCCGTATAATTAATGTGCTGCGACCCATAACTAAACGACATACATTTTGTATGGTTTATTTTGATACACTTAGACGATTTAATCATTTACACGTTTCGACGTTTTCATAGATCGTAAAAAAACATAATAAAACCATCTTTCGAAGTGAATATTTTGAGTTTAGTTACATCATAGCCGATAAAACGAAAGTGTTATACTTATCTCTAACTTACATCAGATATTTGAGATTTATTAGTTATTCAACTAGATTTAGTCAAATAAATATTCAGTACAAGAAATCTCTCCAAGAACTAGACAGTTTTTGTATGCACATATCAATGTGGATTAGTGTCATCTACCATGAAATAGTACGTCAGTATTATTGGAAGTAGTTACTGATTTTAAAAACACCTTTCTGTTGCACGCACATGTTTTAAAAGGAAGCTAGATGCATTTTTATTTGACATCTGAATAGTCTGAGTATGTTTAACCAGTCGATAAGTTTTCTAAATAAAGTTAAAGATAAGTTAAATGTCCTATCATCGAACCCTTAATAATGATTTCCTCAGACTCCTCTTACACATAAGCCTCGAACGTAGAGTGGTGCTCAGTAAAAATTGAGGCTCGTTAATTCACAGAAAACAACCGTATTCATATGTTTATTAGTAACGTTTGACACCCAGAGACTTCTGGAAGTGCGCTACATTTAGCGACAAAGTAAGGAATCACGAAATCAGATTATGGCATGTAATACGTCAATTTTCATGGCGTGTGTTGATTAGACCAAATGCTCCCAGTCTTTTCTTGACTTTTCAAGACCTTGTAGAAGAATTTTTGAGAAATCCCAACGATTATGAAACTCGCGGCCTTATACTTTGTAATTTAAGACAAGGAAGCTGAGATCAGCTGGAACTATCCAATATGAGAATATCAGAATATTATAACATGACGTACAGGAAGAAAAACATGAATACAGTAAAAGTGAGCTCTTGAAGTGGAATCCTTGATAAAAGTTACACTTCACTATTCAACACTGATTCACTAAACAAAGGGAAACATGACAGGTGTTGTATACAACTCATTCGTAAACATTGAATATTTATTTTTTATTTAAACACATGAATATTGGTATAAAGAGGCACCAGATATATATGCGCCACACAAATCTCATTTGATTTATGTAAGGGCTGTGATACTGCCCAGGTGCCCAAACTGAAGCAGGTGGTTTACATAGGGGGCCACACGCGGAGCCTTCGACCTAAAGGTCTGATCCACAAGGCAGTGGGACAACGTCAGAAGATGCAGTCCCATGGTAGCCGGTGATCAACGGTTGATTCATACGCCATTTGTTCCTTCAGGATACTGGAGCCCATGTGCACCATTGGTTTGGAATCAGGGTTTGCCAACTCCTCTAGGTGGACTCACCGTGTCCACCAACCCGGCTAAAGCGCCGGACATTCGTATTTCGTCCTCTCAATTTCGTAAACAATAGTGATGCCCCGAGAAGGTAGGTAGTGAGTAGGACTTCCCTGACAGAGGCTATATACGCGTGGCTATGTGAGAGCATTTCGAGAGGGAGAGCGGACTCTCCCTAATTTCGGCCGTACCAGGGCATTTGAGGGCTACATATTAAAGCCGGCGACACCTGGCATTCCCAGCCGGTCACCCATGCAAGTACTGACCGGGCCCAGCGTTGCTTAACTGCGATGATCGGACAGGAACCGGTACTTTCATCGTGGTATTATCGCTACGGTATAGATAATCACAGACAGACTGAATCAACGCACAGCGTTTAGATCGCGGTTTTTATATTCAACGGTACTTAACCATCTATATTTAGAGATAAAAAACATGTAAGAACAACATTGTTTAAGTTTTCTTCTCATCATTCATTCATTTAATTTCCCCCTCAAAAATAAAAAGATGGAAAACATTTTGCTGATTATATCTATAATAACATTTCTGAACAATTATCCCTCTAACAAGTTACTTATTTTGATACTACCATAGTTTCAAAATATTTTCAATTAAATAAGGAAAAATTTAGTAACCGGTAAACGTTGCATAACTTTCAAAATAGAGAGAGGGAGAGAAACTGAAAAAATACATGATAGTTTCTAAAAGGGGGGGGGAAGGTCACATTATTGAATTGTCGATATAAATCAGTGAATTATATTTATGAGAATATTTGTTGAACATTATGTGCGTATGTATGTGTGTACGTATGTATGTTTCCCAAGTAACCTACCTACTGTTTCACAAAATATTCTTATATCATTAAAAAAGAGAAACTTTTAATAATATAAAAAAAATTTCATTAATCCACGGAATAAACAGTTTTGTAATGGTAACTAGAATGTTCAAAACATATTTTGGTGTATTAATTATAATTAATAATTCTTGCTAGCCACTATCCATCTTTGCTTATAATACTTGTGAATTTAGGCTATATCTAGGCAATACGCACAGTATACACATATGCCGATAAGAGATTGATCAATTGCAGTCTTAACACATCGATGGGAAGATTCAAACAAACAATACTAAGTGAATCTAAACTTTGCCCCATTGCACAAACAAGTGGCTATCAGGACTCAGTAGGTAAGTGGATAACGCGATGATGTTTGAAGCGAAAGGTACTGGTTTCGAGTCCCAGAGTGAACATCAACTCTGAGATGCAGATACATCCAGCTGATGAGTCCCAAATAGGACGAAACGCACATCCTGGATTGTACTGCTAGCCACTATCCATCTCTTTGTAATGCTTGTGAATTTAGGCTATATCGAGGCAATACGCACAGTATACACATATGCCGATAAGAGATTGATCAATTGCAGCCCTAACACATCAATGGGAAGATTCAAACAAACAATACTAAGTGAATATAATTTCTTGTGTAGTTTAATATTTTAATTAATAATTCGAAGTCCTTTGAAAAATATGTTTATTAATAAGGTTATTATGTTTCTTTTATGTATGATTTACATAATCATTGAAATCCAAAAAAAACAATGTATAATTATTTTGACAAAGTATAGAACTTATCAACGGTATTCATTCAAGTACCTATCTAATATCAAACCCAAGAGCGCTTAACATTTAGAACCCTGAGTTAATATCCAATGGTTTACATTGTTTAGCTTCAAGTAACTGAGAATATTGAGCAACTATCTTCCAAGTT